CTTTTCTATTTGGGGCCTTAATGGCTTTTCATACTTCGCACTTCCAATAAGCAGTAAACTCGGAAATTAATATTGCATACTGTTATGATGCAAATGAGAACGCGATAGGAGAGCTGTACCTTAACGCAGAAACCTCTGATTACATCCGTAATTGCACTGGTAGGATGACTTTCCCATTCGTTTGAGCTTCTTTATTTATTTGTATAACTTTGGTCCTCATGCTTTACTCCATTATTGTAAGTGGCACATGTGCCCTGCTGTACATTGCATTTTACTTTTTTTTATTCAGTAATTTATCCATTCAACGTTCGTAAGTAGTCGTTTAAGAGTATTGACCTGATCATCATTATATCCTTCATTTCTTTAGTGACTAAAGTATAGCTTGTGTGGTCCTCCACCGCAAACATTTCAGGTTATAATGTTGCTACGCTATTTTACTTTTTGATCATTATATTTTCTGTAAGTACAGTATATAGTTAAACACCTATTGTATTATTCATGCTACACTTATCATATCTTTTCTCTGAACATTTAATTTAAATGTTAACTCTGTAAAATTGTATGCTGTAAATCAAAAGTGATGATTCAGAAATATGTTAATAATAATAATGTTTCATTCTATTTTTTTCTATAAAAGGACGTGTACATTGCACCAATCATTTCAGCGACCTCGTTCTCACACAGAGGCAGAGAAAAACATTGTCATTATGAATTGCCCAGTCAACCTAATATGTAGAGGGCAGAAAACAGTAGCAGCTTGTGAGGAGTGTGAAAGAAAAAGTGAATGTACGGCAAAGAGTCAAATGTAAAAGGTACCACTAAGTTTTAAGTGCTGTCACACTTCAAGCACTGCTTTTAATTACATCCTCAAGCAGCCTATGCATTCTGATCAGGACCAATACAAAGACTGAAAGACCACTTTCGTGTTCCTATCTAAAGTGGATTTGTTTCAGTCTGCAGTTGACTAGCTCAGTCAGTTTTTTTGAAGCCCTCACAATGTAAGATAATTTATTCATGGAAGGTGTTTCTTAATTAACTTTTGATCCAAGTCATCTAATTTCCTATTCCATTTTACACATTCTCAATTATGAATCCATGTATACTGTACTCTTATTAAGGGGGATCATAAAGTGAGACGTTCTTCATAAAGCACTGGTAGGTACAGTGGTGCACTGTTAAACTGCACGAAGATCCAAACATTTTAGACTTGTCACTGACAAAAGATACTCTTCACAGCATTGTTTTGCAATGATACTTTTTACGTCAACCTACCTCCATCACATTGAAAGGTTCCCCTGCTTCTTTGATGTATCTGATTCTATATTGCCCTGCTTCAGGTCCACTTCTCCTAGATATCTCCTCTTAATGGAAGTTTTGTGTACATTCTGTGCAGCCCGCCTGTAGCACTGTGCACAGCTCTCCGGGCTTGTCATTAGGAAGAGAGGGGTTGAGGATGCCCTGTGTTTGGCTATAGCTGCAGCACCAGACACGCAGCCAGACAGAAATAGCAAATTAATTCAGCTGGATTGGCCTATGATTGCAGTCAGCGATTTAGGTTAAATGTCCTTTGGTGGATAGCAGCATTTCATCCAGATATTGGTCACATGATCACAACATACAGGCCTGATTCCTTTGGCTTTATCCGCCACGTCAATTTTTTCATTTTCCTTTTCAGCACAATTCCCATTTTCACTTGTTGTTTGTGATACTCGCCTTCTGAAATGGTCTACAAATATACAGAAAAGAATAAAAATCATAATAACAAAAATTGGTGAATATAACGGTGTATGGAAATGGGGGGGGGCTTTCGTTAGCCTAGAATATTAATGCGGCAACAAGGCTTTTTAGGGACTAACACAGCTTGTTATCCTTGTTTTCACAGGTTGCCGCTCATTGTGTGCATGAGCCGAGTTTCGATTTGGTTTTAATTGGGTCGCCCTCTACTCTCTCCTCTCATGCAGCTTTTCTGTGGAACTCATCTTAATTAGACCTACAAGATTGTGACACTACCATGGTATATATTATATCTGCTCTGCCTCTGTTTCCATTGATGTTGTTTTTAGAAGTATTGATAAGAAAAGCTATATAATGACATTTGCTTTACAGCTGTAGTCATTAATGGCCCTCGCCGGTGTAGCAGCTCAGAAAAGAAATGGATAAAAGGTTTTATGGAAATAAAAGATGGTTTCTGAAGGTGGAGATAGCGAAGCCTAATGACTGTCGTGCCAGCTGCTCCTCATTATCAAGGTTACTGGCATGAAGACCAGCTGAGATCTACTAAGAGGTCTACAGCCTTTAAAATAGCCATGAGGCCTTTCCAGCTGCACTCACTGACATCATAACCTCTGTGAAACTCAAAACAAACTCCTATTTTCTTTCATTATCTTCCCACCATGGTCCAGTAAAGAAATGTGTATATTCAAGTTGCATGCAGGACAGCTACATGTCACAGCCGGCCATAGAATGGCGTGTTTGTCAAGTGGTAATTATTTGAAGCTATATATGTAGTGGTTATTTTCTTATGCAGCAGGGAAATGCAGCTTTTTTTTCTAATTCATGAGCTCCCTCCAAACATCATTAGATTTTCAAATATCACAGTGTTCTGAAACAAACCTTTTCCACCATGTTTTTCTATAGAACATAAAGGACATAAAAAGCAAACTATTAGGTCCTGCTTTAGAGAGCATAGCACAATGATGGGTATAGTTGTGCTGATGGGGGTGTGTCAGTGGAAGTAACTGATTTGCCCATATTTATCAGAAGAGTGTAAGCGCCTAATCCCAGTTTGCATTATTAAAGATAATACCACAGTGGTTTCTGCAAGACCACCACACTGAATCAAAGTCTGACACGGACTCATGATCTATGGATATATTATTCAGAGCATCGCAAGGGCCTCAGAACAGTGTGGCTTCTTTATCTGCCCTCCCAGGTTACTGCCTCCCCATGCATACATACACATGCACACAACCACCACTCATCAACCCCTGGAGGGCACCTGTGTTTTCAAAGTGAAGACCACTTAGAGTGTAGCCCCAGGCGTTTGAATGCTGAAGTGCCCTGTGTTGCACATTGGAAGCCTCTGTACAAGCCAGGAACATAAACACTTTCAATAGCCCTTGTCTCCTCCCAAGAACAACCTAAATACCTCGAAACGGGGAAAACCGCTTACACAGGCCAGAATATGGAACAAACAGTCCGCGGGGAGTTGACCACATTAAGGGCCACGCACGGAGATGTGCAGCTCATCGGCACACGGGAATGGCGCGTAGGTAGAAAAGCTGACGAGCAGGTCAGACGTCTTAAACAATGTGAGTTAATAGCGTTGAAGGACCTTGTGTCTTCTAGAAGGTAGTTAAAGTCTTGAGTTTTTAACGATCTAGGTTGCTGTTGGAGTTGCACAAATGTTCACAGCATAAAAACAGCTGCTTAGACTGAGGTGCACCAATATATAAGATGTGTAGGAAGCAAACTCCTCCTCAAGAAGCAGACATAGTGTTAATGATCACAAACATTATTCAAACCCCTAGTCGAGTAGGTGAGGTTTGATCAGGTGCCAGAAACCGGAGAACAAGATACCTTCAGAGTTGGCCCCACGGTGTGTCCTAATGAACACTTTGATATGTTAAAAGAGAAACCATCTTCCATCCTGATAACAAGCAGAGGATAGACGAAAAGCAAAGAAGCTGAAATAAAAGAAATGAATGACCATTCCTGGATGAGAACTTTGTCTATGTGTTTGGTCTGTTTGGAAAGGAGAATGAGTCGGCCTTGTCGCACTTAATTCCAGCCACTCTTTTGTGCTCGAGCAGTGGGCAAATAGCTTGGGGAGTCATTTGAATGTCTTAGTGGACGTTGTAACTGCTCCATCTCTAAATGTGTTGAAATGGAGGCGTGAGGAATGGCATCATTATGGTAATGTGTTCAGGAAGCCAATGAGTTGTGCCCTAACCTCTGCTGCTCCCCCTGCGATCCGGAAAGTGCACCTTAGGTCACCTTAATCAGTGAGAGGCGGCATTTACAAACACACACACACACACGCGCACGCAAAGCCTCACTTGCATCGCAAGATTGCTCTCAAACAAGGTGTGCGGCATGTCTGGCTGCTCTGCGTAGAGTGCTGCTATGTGCTATGTGACTGCGAATTGTACAATAGATCTGTTTTTATTGTTTACACCAAACTGCAGGTTTTACTGGCCCAATGCACAGAGACAGACAACAAGAGACAGTGCTATTATATTAAGGGAGCCCAAATGTAATGACAGGTAGCTCTTTCAACTGTGACTTGCGAGCAGGAGCCAACGTTTTAGAGGAAAGGGGTTTCAGTCACACGTCTGCTTTTTCCTCAGCCACAGACGGTGTTGGAGAGCACATTAAAACCTAAGGGTCTTCTCGTCCTTCTCTTTTTTTCTTGTCAACCCTGCAGCGAGAATAAACAGCCATGCCTTTTGGCACGCAGTCACAGTGTCTTCTCACTGAGCTTGGAAGCAATTCATAATGACCAGAGGATCTTGTGTCGCTTGGTGTTTGCGTGTGCGTGTTTTGTTTGCGAGTGAGTTTTTAGTGATGAATTTCACCCATCAAATTCACAACAGTGGTTGACCAATGAGTTCTGTGAAAGCGTGGCCTGTGGTGTTTTTCTTTAATAAGTCCAGAGGTGAGGCAAAGCAAGCACACCATCAGTCATCCTGTCAGGACCGTACCCTGTGATTAGCCCAGTATATTGGTGGAAATATTTAACCTGCCGCACCGCCTTACAATACAAACCAGTGTTATCCTTCATAAAACATTTATTTTAGTCAGCTAAAAAGTTTCTGGCCTCTTGTTCATTTCTCAAATAAGCTTGTTAAAAAAACAAGTATTTAATATAATTCATTTATTTTATTGTATGAGGAATGCATGTGTGTATTGTGGCGAACGGGGGGGCAATGCGGCCCAGGAGGTGGATCCAGAGGTTCAGGTTGGGGGAGGTAATAGAGGGTGTGTTCTACCCAGTGCAGGTGCTGCAACCAATTGCCACCTGGCATGGGGGCACACCTGCAGCCCAGCAGCCAGGTCAGAAGGGACATACGTGGAGAGGGCCGAGAAGCAGGAGGAAGAGGATTAACGGAACAGCAGTTTGGGGGAAACCAGCGGAGGAGGAGAGAAGAACGAAGACCTCTCAAATGGCTTGAGAGAAGTCCCTTTGAACCCGAGGTAACATCTGCTCTGGAGAAGTGAGCTAAGACCCTGACCGGGAAGAACCTTTTGTTGTATTGCCAACATTTAATTATTCATCAATTAATGTCTCTGTGATTTTATTCTGGAATCTTGCCTACACATCCCCCGGGTTGCCACAGTACACATTTAATTGTGGCAAAGCTGGTCTTTAATATGATCATTGTCACAACAATTGATTAAGCTCCAGCTCAATACATGCCAGGAGCTCAAACCTACCATAAATAGAAAAACAAAGAACAACAGTCTACAAGATAATTGTGTCTTGTATGAAAAATTACATGTATACTTTTTATATAATTAACCAAATTACCAAAATCCAGGGGACAGACACTGTCCATCTCTGTCCTTTGCCCTCTGTACGCCTCCGTTGCCTTGCCTTCCTCCCCCCCTGACACTTGCGTGAACCAGCACAGCAAATGCCCGGCCAACCTGAACAGTGGCTCTGGGCCCGAGTTCCACACCTTAGAATGGATCTTTATTTACAACACACAACTCGGAAACAGCTGGTCAATCCATTTTGCCTTAGGCCACTGATTTGTTCGTATTTACTACAACAGCCAAAGAAAAGCCAGGGTATAGTTTCCTCTCTCCTTCCTATTGATCCTGCGCTTAGAAAATCTGCCCCGCTGTCTAAACACTATTGATCCCTCCCTCTCAACGACAGGCTCTTGCACCAGTGTATAAAGGGACTGGATGAATTGAAATTTTATTTCCGACAACTTGTTCCTGTTATTTTTACCCTTTTTTTTCATTAGGAGGGAACATGGGAGCTGGCGGGCCGCCACTCAGAGAGTCGATCTGTGTTTGGCTCACAGGGGAGAGAAAGAATAGAGGTGAGACTGGTTAACAACACTGCCATATACAGGTCTCACTCTGTCACTTAGACCCCAGTGGTTGTTAATGGTTTTTGGAGCATGTTGGTAGCCAGAGTGCAACTTTTATAGTGGGAGACACATCTATGCCATTATAAATTTGGCCTACCTGGGCTACAGTAGCTGGTCATCAGTTCAATGACTACGTGGAACATAATGGTTTAATTCTTACCTCTTATCACATTAATGTAAAGTGAACTTAACTTTACTGCCGACCCACTTGCTTTTACGCTTATACCATTTACTGTACATCATTATTTGCTTATCCTCAAACTTACAGGAGAAACTGAGAGACAATATTGTCTAAAAAGGATCATTTGATTTTTTGATCTTTCTCGCTTTGAATGGTTCTTGCTCGGCAACTAACTGTTTAGTCTCAGAGGTCTGCGTTTCTCCACAATCCCCTTAGTATGCAAGCCAGGACCCTTTGAAAACCCTCCCTGCTTGCAGCTTCATTACAACATTGTAATAGATAACCTATCGCAGGCAAGTTTCAAGTGTTTGCAAATAGATTTTTGTAACCACAGTTGCATGAACTGGAATCAATGGGTGCCTGCAGCATAAAGAAGGAAGTCAATCTAAAAAGTATTCAATGCTTTTAAAAAAGGTCAGTAGTTCTTTAAAGTCATTGTGATAAAACATGGAAAGTGATTTATACGGTTCTTTAAATAACCAACTCCAGTTATTTGTTTGTGTTAAAAGGGTGTTTAAATTGGTGCGGTATCTCCCATAACCCAATTTAAATCTCTAGAGTTCACCAGATATCTTAATATTTAATCTTTTAATCTTTTTGTTAAGGTGATCGCCCCTAACTGTCTTAAAGAGAAACTAAGATTGCTGGAGATAAACGCTGTTGACCTTGTCTTTGTGTTAGACTTTTTCTTGATTAAAAAGGTGACTCACACGGTAAAAAAAAGCATAAACCAATATTCATTATAGAATAAGGAAAGAACACAAAGGATTCACTGTGCTGTGGAGAGAATCAAACTGTACTTTAACTAAGTAAATAACATAGATGGTCGGGGTTCTTTACTTTAAAGGCCTCCAAAGATATTTTGGTTCTGTTGGCGACTGTTAGTCGCTCAATATGGTATAAAATGTTACTGTTAATACATGCTCATGTACTTTAATATATATTTATGGTAGTCCCATAGTTCCCAGAAAAAAAGAAGTAATGATTAAAGTGCATTTAGATGCTTCTTTTATTTACAATGCTTTATGTCCACTCTCACAGGGGACACGGAGTATATGGAAGCCAGCAACGCAACCAGTACAAGTGGAAGAGCTCCTCAGTGCGCCACATAAGGTAAAGCAACCAGAAGTGTGTTCTAGTCCATCTGGCTCATGACTGTGTCCAACCCTTTCCATTAAAGCAAGATAGAGTGATACATAAAAAAGGAGGTTCTGTTTTAATTAGCATAAATATTCATGTAATGGCCATGAAGCCGACCCGCATTCCATTTCAAGCTCTTAATGTTAATGCATATTTTAATACATTATCATTGCCACCATCATAATTCTTATTATGATAACTGTAATTATTAGATTTATGCCCAAATTAGGATTTTGTTCCCTGAGGGCGCATGTTTTCCCTGTGTGTGATGCCACCAGTCCTTCTCCTCCAAAATACTGAGCAGACACTGATAAGGATAAACACACAAACACCCCAGTGTGTCTGCTGCTGTGCCTGTAAAACACTCCATCTGAATTGCACATCCGCCTTGCTACCGAGCTTGTCATAAGCTGTATTAAGAAAAATAGTCACACGCTTTGACATAAATTGGAAAATGACATTTAGAAAATGGGTGCTGCTGTGGAAATTAGAGATATTAAAATTATAAATCAGTGTCTAGAAGTGCAGGAGGGTGTGTTGGTTCTACGTTACTCATTTTTTGTCTGCCTCCCTCTCTATGTTCATCTCTCCATTCTTTTTCTTTCTCTCAAGCACTTTGTTTTTTGTGCTTTCAGGCAGTTTTTTTTCAGTCCATAATAAGTGGTTTCAAATGCAGCCACACACACACGTCTGCCCCACAGGGACAATCCCATCTTCTCATCCGGCAGTAAAAGTAGAGGGAATGGTGTTTGTGTGTCTGCTGCAGCTGTATCTCGTCAGCTTATTGCCAGTGTCTTTTGCTGTCACCTGCTAATGGCTCATCTGTGAGGTGTTATATGTATTATGCAAAAGTAAGGTGTGCTGACACCTTTAAAAACAGGCATCTGTAATCCTCTGTACGCCTCGCCTCTGCTCCCTCTTTCCTGTCTGAGTGCTGATCAGGAAGAGGTGAAGAGGCAGAACGATAAACCGATTTCTGAGCTACAGGTGCACAGACACAGGCCGAAGACATTTCTGCAGGATATGAGGCAAGAGCTCCAAAGAGAGGTCGTTGGCCTTCCTTTTGACCAAAGGCTCATGCACATACAGTATATGTGACTACTCGTATATCCACACAACCCATTTTCACTGGAAAGGGAAGGGTTTGCCATTACATACAAGTGTACCTTTGGCTTTAGTTCATCCTTTCTTTTGATTGAGCTCAAAGAAGAAAGCAAAAAGAGGCTGGCAGATCTTTGGAAATTCATGCCTTGAACTGTTGACCTCCTCCTTTTGAGAGAAAACAAAAGTCCCTGCCTCAAGAGCAGTTGTACCTATGCCACACATTCTGCACACAAGACGTGGATCAGCTCTTTTCATTTGTGACGCAGGGAGGAAAAACATTCAATATTTGAGTCCTTGAAGGTTAAATGTAAGATTTATATATGCCTTTGTATTTTTTAGACCGAGGTGAAATTATACACTGGAGCAACAATGTCTTCTTTCTGTCATGTGAAAGCTGGGAGGTCACCCATTTAAGAGCATTCACTTCTTCAGACCTGCTTCACTATGCCTCCAATCCATCCCTACATGCACTTCACTCTTTTCCTGCACTAACTGTTGATTATTACTGATGCCTGCAGTCTGGTCAATTTGTTGTAGTAACAGTGGCCCTTAATTGTAAGAAAATATAGGGAATTAGATGCATGAAACTGTGTTGATCCAGAACCAAAACTGTCTATGCAGTTACACAGAAACATGCATAAGCATTTATCCAGATTTATTAAGCTGCTTTTACTCCATCATTGTGGAAAAAGGCACAGAGGTATAAGCCTAGTTTCCACTACAGCCGTTGGCCATAAATCAATCTATAAATACCTTTTTAATTACTATTTGTGCAAAGGGGAGCATGAAAATAGTGACCCAATATGTAAACATTACATAAAAATAGAATAAAGATAAACGGAGACAAAGCATAATAAACTAGTTGATTTAACAATACGTTAGTAAGTATGTAATATTAAGCTAGTTTTCATTAAGCTCATGGATGCTCTAGATTTGTACACCCTGCTTGACCCTCCTCACTTTTATTCCACCCCATAGCCCCCCTTCACTTCAATATTTCAACACTTTCATTTACTTTTACTTAGATTTCACCTGCACTCTGTCCCTAATAAGGTATTCTCAAGGTCAAGTGACTAGAGGAGGTACTTTGTTTTGTTAAAGTTTGGGATAAATCTCAGTGTAGCAAAGGGCAAAGAATACACAGGAGGAGGTCGCTGTCCATGGTCGTTGCAGCCATGAAAAGCAGAAAAAAACTTCACGTTAATTAGGAGTAAAATGGCATCAAATTAATGGCTAAAAAAAGTATATGTCAGTGGAAAATTTGCATGTGTTATGGCAATTCTTTTCTAGGAAATGGAGAGATTTAAGGTCTGGCCCTCAGGGTCTGTCCATAAGTATCACGGATACCCAGCAAGGCATTCGGAAACCCAAACGTGTGCACAGGCATACAATGACATGTCAGACACCTTGATACCATATATACAAATAAAAATGAATCAAATTTAATCACTTTGCTGGAGTAGGATGGGGAATACTCCCTCTCTATGCAATCATATTGATTATTCTTTACATCCATGAAGAGATTTAAGGCATTTCTTTTGATGTTGACTAGCTCTGTTATTTTTTATTCGTAATCATGGAGATATTGAAAAGTCTGTATATATATTTGTGAATTTATTACCATGTCATGACCTAAGATCAAGACTTTTTGTAACTGTACAAGCCTCTGTAAGCTAAGCTTAGGCCTGGGACTTGAGGGCTTCAGACCGGCGCTAGATCGTTGTATGCGAGGTGGGTTGAGCATTGAGATGATGTGTTTTTACAGTGCAGTCTCGCTGTGCTTTGGGATGGCAATAAACCACGGCCTTCAAAGCACAGCCGAGCGCCACTTACTGCGAAGTGCTTCTCTGGTGGTTGGACGAGATTACTCTCAAAACAAAGTGCAGACAGGTTGATTAATAGAAGGGCCTGCAGAGGTGTGTGCCGCAGTATATTTTCACATCCAGCGAACACTCGTTCAATTCATTCATATGGGCTTTTATGGGATGATCCTGTCAGTGTGTGAGTTTGTCACTTCATAAAAAAGGTCTTTGAGCGTGTTTCATTGAAAACGTATCAGGCTCTTGCAGACATGTTGTTTTAATGTTGAGAGAGCTGTGACTCAAAAAGGCAACGTATGATTTGGACATATTAGTCCAAATCATAATTTGGGATTTAGAAACGTGGTTGTGCCTCTAAGAATCCGCACTATGAACTCCAAAAAGCTTTGCACCAATTATTTGAATCTGAATGAGATTCATAGGTAATACTCTGCTTTATTCTCTGACTTACCAAAGGGACTGATATTGATTAACACTGTACTTTAGTAAGATACCAAGATGCCACCTGTCGGCCTTTGACTCCTTTCAATGGATGTCTTTGTTTCTTCCTGTGGTATCTTACTATGCTGAGCTTGGAAAGTGTAGTAGGGGTGTACCTGCCCCTGTGTATCTGGTACATTAGATAGAGCTAGAACTGTTTTCTAGTTAGTTCTTTTTCTCAAGTCCTGTTCTGTGGGATATGGATCCCGGATATGTTCTCCTCTCAACATTTTATGGACTCACACTAGCGGTATCCTCGATATATATTTTTCACCACAAGGGCTAGGCCGAGAATGATAAATATCACCTGAAGATGGATCTCGGATATCTGTGTGATAAGAGAGCTGCGGGATTAAAATGGAGGTTGAGAAGCTGTCAGGCCATCCAGAAAGTGGGTCCGCAGGAGGAGAAAGCCTTCGGCTGGTGATCTATTATCAATGCGGGACTAAGTAAGAGACAGAGATGAAGATAGGGAGAGGAATCGAAAAGGAGACAGCAGGAGTAGGGCGGGACCTCCATTCCGAATGAGGTGGCCTCGTCTACTGCAGTAATGATGGGTGGGCTCGGGGTGACGGCAGTCGTGGCAGCTTACCATTCGGTCACCCCCTCATCACATCGGATCACAGGGTTCTAATTAACTTCAGCGCCGCAATCAGCATAACCACAGAGGAAATTAGGTTTTTTCATGGCGTTCAAAAGCGAGGCGTTAAAATGCATATTAGCCCTGTGTTTTTAATTAACATTTTGTGCTTAGGAAGCATGTTAACAGTATCCCATAATGAGCTTTGTACAAAACAAGCAGCACAGAGGACAAAGGGCAACTTCCCCCTGTGTTTGCAGATGTGTGCAGTCCTTCCTTCTAATACAATGAGGTTAGAAATTGTCTACCCTTGTTTCTAGTGACATTTATTTATGAGGGTGTTAAATTGGGAAATGGAGATCTGTCTAGATTTGGACTTAGTTTACTGTGCGCATTCAGTGTTTGTCAGAGAGCTTCCAAAAAAAAGACCTTTCTGCTGCTGTCGGTCTCGATTGATGCCTCATGCTATTATCGTAGGCTCCACCTGTTCTTATCACCGCACCTGGTTCTGACGTCTATACATTTTGTGTCTTCTCTGTGCAGCACAAATGGATTGGATCGTTTCATACGCTGCTGTTTAGATTCACTGGGGAATTCCCTCACGAAAACAAAACCTTTTCCAACTGCGCATGGAACCGTTAATGTTAGTAATCGCCACCGTGTGTCGTAAGAGTCTCAAACCTTTCAACATGATAAATACGCTTGTCACCATGCCTCCTGCAAGACTTAAAAATGTACATGTGTTTCTTTTCCTAGCACCAGGTATGTATTTTTGTATGAGTTGCTGAATTTTGGAGATCCTGTCAATGACTGCCAGCGCTTTGCTCATTTATTTATTCCCTTTTGCATCTGAATGGTCAGTTATTTGTTTTTCACGGTGTCCTTGTGTGTTATAAATGGGATAGGCCTGTCACTTCAATGCTAGGAGGATGTTTTGAGTTCAAGCGATTTTTATTTATTTCATTTTTGGTTCGAGCAGAGCAGTGAATAATGCATCTCAACAGGCTATATGTACTGTTTTTATCATTAGCATGCAGCCTGAGTTATCTGTAGAATTCTTATGAGTACCGGCAAATGTTTGTGATGTTATTTATTTATGTTGCTCCTTTCAATTATTCATTTGTTTATTTATTCATGGAAGAACTAACTGAAATTGGAAAATTCATTTTTGCTGAAGGGCACTTGGCCCCACTCTATCCTCTCCCTACAAAAAGGGAGCGGAGGGGGTTTCACATCAGGCTTGTTAGTAATTGCTTTATATGGTGTTTCCTCAGACTCACCAGAGAACGTCATTCAAATCCAAAGAGATGGGTCAGCAGACAGAAGAGCCAGACTGGAAGAGAAACAAGTGAGTAGAAGCTAGGAGGTGGAAAGCGCATGTGAGAGAAAGTAGTGATAAAACTAATTCTGTTTTCTTTTTCTTTTTTGAGAACTTACTGGGGTTAAGCTAAGACAACATGCAGTGATAGATGAGGAAACACGATTTTCCAAACACCTCGACGGGACTCCACAGGTTGGAATGCAGGCAGAGGTTCACACAGAGAACGGACATTATAAGCTGCGGTTGCCTTGGGTTGTATTCACACCTTGACGCTCCCCCGGCCTCTCCATGTTATTGTGTGCTCACTGTGTTTTCTTTAATTATGTAGTGCGAGAGTTGGTTCAATTTCACACTTCCACAAACATGCAACTAAGGCGTCCTGATAAGTGCGATTCACTGAACTTTAAACGTGTGTGTAGTGTGTGTGGGAAAGCATGCATGTGTGTTTTGTGTCTCTGTGTCATCAACTGGAGCCGTGTTTCAGTAACTGCTCACGGACATAGAATCCCATTTAGCATTAAATGTAAAAAAAAACCCGATTTGTGTCACTGGTTATTTTAATATTGTTGTGTCCTTTTAATCTTTTGTTTGCATGTCTCTCTGTTTGCACGTGTCACTGGCGGTATTGACACCGGACCTGTTGATCCTGGGGTGAAAAATCAGAAGCTTCAGAGGCCGATAACAGCTCCAACACAAAAGGTAATCTCCCACATGCTGACGTAAACGCACGGTAGAAACCTTCAGTACACATGCACCTGCTCATTCATCTCAATCCCGGGTCGTCGGCGAGGCACGTCTGTAAAAAAATATAAATCTCTGAAGTAATTAATGTAGAATTTTATGTGTTTCAGTTTCTTTTGCTGGAAAGGGGTTGCCAGTCGTAACAAAACAGTCCTACCCGATGAGAAGCGGTAACCAAGATCTTGGTCCTCAAAGTAGTTTTCCTCATTTATTGTTGATTATTTTATCTGATCTAATCTTACCACACTCTGCTCTGCAGCTGCCAATCTGCTGTTTGATCCTCTCAGAGAGCTACAATCTCTGTGTCAATGTGAGGTTGTAGGTGGTCAGAAAAAGTATTGCAACTTTTCCCGAAAAGTACCCGAAGGCGTTCAACAAAGTTATGCTTACCTTCAAATACATCTATTCTTCAGGCCTAACCGAAAAATGAGATGTATTCTCTTGAACCCTTTACCTACACAACTAGCAGCCATAAAGCACGATTATCAGTCATGTGGAGTTTCTTGCCACCTGAGAATAATACCAACATTCACTGTCCTTAGCTAAGGTTTGGTGTCTGCTGACTCCTGGGTGAAATATCTGTCTCTAGCTGCTAAATGCTCTGTTGTTGTCACTTTGTTGATGACTTTGTCTGGTTGCTGTTCAGTGGCCTTTTAGGCCCTTAGGCCCACTGGTTGCTCTTTTGGTTTTCACATACCTGTAGTAGTATGATCCATACAGACTAAGAAACCTTTGTGCCCTGAGTCGAATGAATTCTATTCAACATGCGACAGAAGCGAGCCTCACAAGGGTGGTCACGCATGTCACGCTTCCTCAAGGTGTCAATTTGTATCATTACATTACAGCAAGCTTTTCTTGGCATGGCTCATTTGTTATAATCTTGTTTTTGCACCTTCATAATATAGTTTTTTTTTTAATTAGCTGAGATTGATTAAATTGCATTGATTCTGTATCCTTATTAAATTCTCTCCCCTCCCTCCACATCCCCCTTTCCTTCCTTATTTGTCATAATTACCGTGTGCCTTTGGAGGAGGCACCACAGCGTTACACATTTTGTAAATCAAGGCAATGGTTAGAATAATTCATTGCAGTTGCTGTCAAAGAGCTGCACATTGACAGGGATTTTATGAGTTTCTGCAGGTATGATTTGATGAGATTTAGATATGTGAAAGCACTGTTGCTGAAAAGACCAGAAAATTAGAAAATGAGCTGAGTCCCGGTTCGGATCAATCCCACAGACGCTGCCCCACCCGTCCGCTCAGCAGTGACCTTGGCTGTTCGGCCCGTAGCATGTGGGCATATGTATGCGGCCGTGCACGCATGCGTGCATTCGTCTGCCTGCTAGTAGAGAATCTCATTCCAAACCTATTGCTCATTTTAATTTTGATTGATGACTCCGTTTATCTTTGGAATAACAATCCTCTAATACCCCCCACCACCTCGTCAACACCCTCTGTTTCACCACACCGTAGACCCTGATTCCTCTCTCCATCACTCCCCCAGTACAGAAATTATATTAGTAACAAAATGAGATTTGAAATCTTGTGTTTGACAAGCAGCTTGATGAAAGGGATTCATAGCTGGGCTTGATCCATGGACATTTTATGCTAATAACACTGCTGGCCAAGCACTCTAGTTGGAAATTAATCAGGGGGCTGGACTAATAGGAGAGGAAAGAGGAGGAGAAGGTGGATTTCTCCATAAACAGCCCCCCTCATTCCCTCTCTCCAGCTCTGAATCTCATCAGAAATAGCCATGGGGTGTTGTCTATGTGATGGGGTAGGGAGAGAAATGGGGAGTTAGAAAATTACACTGCTGCTTAGCACTGATTGATGCAGTGATGTATGCAGTAATGTATGCAGCCATGCAGCGAGCTGCCGCATCATGGATTAGACCTCTCCCCTTCTCAAGCTGTCCCCTTACGCATCGGAGAGGAAACACACACATCTTTAGAAACAAAAGCACAAGCACCTCTTTAGTTACGTCTGTAATTATCATATTCATCCTGTACAGCCTTTGGTTGTGTCTTTTCTATATGTGTCACTTTTTGTCGCATGTGTGTGGTAAGGTGTGTATCTAATGGTGATTCACCAGACAGCCCCTGAGCAGATGAGAGTTCTTTTCTCTGTCTCATCACACTGTCTCACACACACACACACACACACACACACACACACACACACACACACACACACACACACACACACACACACACACACAAGCACTCTTTGTCTCCCCTAGTTATTCTCTTTCCCACTAAACCCTGGGAGTCATCATTACGTTGACTTGCTAATGAAGTCGTTATCCGATTTCACTCGTATAATACAACACAATTAGTACAGAGGCCTTAATGATGTTTGCAAGTTAAATGAAAAGAATGAGCTTTTCTTGTCTATTCCTCCGCCTCATTTACTTTCTCTACGCTTGCTGTTTAGTTGGAATAAAGAGAGTGAATTAATCACTGAAGTGTTTTTGTAGGTGTGTTGGTGACTATTTCTCAGCCATGTTACAAGTCATTGTGATTTATTATTTTTACCCTGAGAGACATCTGTTACACCATTCCTTATTTTTGTAATGCATCAACAGCCAGAGGAAAAACAATATTATCCAGTCTGGGATATTGTACTCTGGAGTCTAATAATCTAATATACAACAGAGCTGGCGTCATTAAAGTGCTCGTGGAGCTGTAGGAAGATGGTAGGCACTCATCTGTCTGAATCCCCACCGGTGATCGTGTTCCGTCCCACCACCTGCCCCAGCGCCAATACACACACACCAGAGCAAAACACATACTAGCTTACTAGTTCTGTTACAGTGGTCAGCCCAAGGCAGGGTGGAGGAAGTCCCCACCAACAGGTCCACGATGGCACTGCTCAGCTCCGAAATGGAGGACGCAGAGACTGACCCGGTGGTTTAAACAAAAACCAGTGCTGTCCAATTGTGTGGGACTGCAACAAAAAAGTGTATCATCCGTCAGTTTTCAGTCATAGAATCCTTCAGAGGGAGATTCAGGACGGAGATTTGGTGCTATAGAACATCCTTGGACTAAATTGTTTACTTGAAGAAAAGATTTATTCATTCATTTATTTGTTGATAGGTGGCAAGCTGTATTGACGTATGTTCTTGTGAGTACATTTGTATGGAGAGAGAGAGAGAGAGTTTGTAAACATACAAGACTGTAGAGGGACAACGTGGACATATCATCTCTGAGTACTGATGGACTAAAGTGGAAAGTCTTGCTGAGGAAGAGTTGTGTGTGTGTGTGAGAATTATAAATAATGGGTGTTAGTGGCCAGTGGAGACCAGTAGTGGAGGTGGATGAAGGTCTGATGGGGAGCTCACCTCCATCTGTGATTGAAGTGTGGAGGTGCTGCTCCCGACACGCTTACTTTTACACTCATTTTCTACTCGGCCATAAGTGCAGTAAACAGACACAACAGATCCCCAAGTGCCCTCGCCTGCTCATCCCGCCCCAGCCTCTCTCCCTGTCAGAATCAGAGCATGTCAATCCCTGGATTTCACCTTCTTATGCCAGACCTTGATTAGCAATAGAAAACCTCTTAATCACACGCGCATAATGTATGTCTCATACAAGGTCCTCTGGAGGGTTACACACAGCACAGACATTTAACATGTACATGTACATGTCTTTACTACATATTAAATTGTTTTGCTGCATTTCTCCAGTGTCCTCTTCATCATATATGTATATATAACGGTTTCTACGAAAAAGAGGAGCAGGTGGAGGTTATAGAGTCATCCATGACGCCAACTACGCAGTATGTGTAGTTTTGAAACAAATATTCACACTGACAAATAAGGAAGGAAGGTGGTGTGTGTGGGGATGCCAGTTTTTGGACACCTTGTTATGACCATTATTAGTAAATCCCACTTCCTCCCCTCAAACTTCCCCCCCTCCAACTCAAATTGAGGACAGAAAGTTAAAACCGACACTTGGAAAACCACTAGTATGTAGCCTTTTATTAACACAAAATAACCAGCAACCTAATGTTGTGCCAAAGAAAGGAGGCAAGTGCCCATCACCTGGCAGGCCCTCGGCATGTAAAGTCTCACCCCACAGCAGTGACTAATTGTTTGTTATGTCAGTGCTTGTCGTGTCCGTTTGCCTTTAATGGAGTGTAGTGTGGTGATCCATCAGGCTGTCGAGCAAGCACCATGTCAGTTGAAGTGGCTGTGTGTCAGTGGGGCGAGCGTGCCGTGCAAATGTGATTTACTGCCCTGCTTGTTACACCGCACTGTGCCTTGCCTCTTACCCGCGCAACGCAGCCCGGCTCCTGTCCTCCACTCGTCTCCCCTTTACTCTTCTTTCTTTTCCCAGATTGATTACCGGCACAACTGGCTCACGCGTCACTCGCCATCTTCTGGCAACCTTCTACTGGTCAGCGCACCTCATTTGGCTATTTATACATCTGTAAGTAGCTTTGAAATATAGATTTGTCTTGATGGGTGTCAACATCGGAGCTGTGGAAGCGGAGTTCAGTGACACCTTGTTAGGTTAATGGTGGGAATTTGCCCTCATATTGTACTTGAAGCTAAAACCGTTTTTCTTGCAGTGTTTGGTTTGTGCCGAGAGATAGAAAAGGTAAAAGAAGTAATTGAAGATGGCCTTACCCCTCTAAACCACATGTCCTAAATGTGAATGTTGAGGTGTTTCAGACTGAGAAGAATCCTTAACGGTAACATGATGTGTGACCTGTCGTCAACACGCACGCACATGTTTCACTCTATTCTCAGGCGAGGTCTCAGAGGTAATCAGGTGGCAACCACTCAGTGCGATATGCTGTTTAATTGAATAGTTAACACATCAGAGGCTGGCATGTGCAGATTGAAGGTGACACCTGTCAGAAAGCTGTTCTCTCCCGACCCAGGAAATGCCCCGCTCGGCCCGATACAAATGTCATCTCTGTGAAAATACCAAATTAGAGGGAGGCAGACGAGTTTGTGCAGAGCAGCAGGTTCAGATAGCTTCGGGGTGAAGGAAGGCTGGCGTTTCTCTGCGCTGTCCTTCAAGAGGATTCCTTAGGCACCGGGCACCTATCCTCACTTCACCTCAGGCCATCTACCATCTATATGTCTGCGCGTGCGTGCGTGCGTGCGTGCGTGCGTGCGTGCGTGCGTGCGTGCGTGTGTGTGTGTGTGTGTGTGTGCATTCACACCTCGGCAGGCTGTGTGCCCAAGGCATCCAGCAGTTGAGCATGCATTGTGAAAAAGTGTGTCAACTAAGTAAAGGTGTCCAGACTTGACCAAGACTGGTAGACTTACATTTGCATGAATAAAAAAAGAATGATTTTTGAATGAGAATGCTCTCTACGTATTGGAAAATTTGACTGTCCAGATGAATCTGCTGGAGGCGGAGGTCCTCACAGGAGCCAGCAGCACATAACAGCTCGAGACCAGAGGGTCACCAAACGGGACCAACACCTCAAGGCTGCTCATAGCTAAACCACTGAAAGGAAGCAGGTACCAGCTGGGACATGTATCCATGTTACCCTTCACATTAAAACCGAACACCTTACATACATACATGATATATTTAGCACGTCAGCAGGGCAGAAATGTGTGGACTAGATAGATATCTGTAGGAAACACAGGATGCTCTGTAGAGAGTCACAGCAGCATACACACACGCTCAAGCACTAAGACCACTGCAAAGACTACAAAACACTGAGGTTGGTTTCTCTACCTTACTGAGAAAGTGCTGTCATATAGTTCTCATAATTGCTGTGGTCCAAGACATTGCGCAAGACAGTGGATTGTGGGTCCAGCTAATCAGTGGATTACTTGTGGGGAGCATCACACTCCATCCCTTTGATATACTGCTACAGTCATTCTTCATTGTCAAATGGGGCTCAAATGTCTAGAATAACGTCTTGAACTAGGAGGGAAAGTTCTCAAACAACAGCTCTGCTGTCAGCTTCATATCAGTTTTTGTTTTTAAGAAGATGCTATTGAAATTATAATGAAGAAATAAAAAATACATTAAAAAAAGTGATTGAAAGTGAATGAATCTGGGTGACAGGCATAAAGGAGTGAAAGTGAAAGGCTTTTTGCAAATCAAAATAGTCTTACACGTTTCAGCTAGAGAAAAGATTTGTTGAAAAAAATATGGTACCAAGAAAGTAGGTGTGCCTGGCTGAAGTAGACCAAATATAAGCCTTTTCACACATCCACTCAAAGCCGTTGAAAGACAAATGTGTTCAAAGGATGTGTGTTTGTGTAACAGTTTACATACATTTGCTCCTGTGTATGTTTCATTTTAGATGTGTGTTTTTTGTGTATGTAGCGGTGCAGCACGAGCGGACTTTGTCAGCAGCTCTGCACCAGCGGAGGTGGTGAAGACTGAGCTTCTCCAGAGCAGTGACCCCACAACAACTAAGTATACTATATTCCCAATAATGAAATATTTGCATCCCTCGGAGCTGGTACGATAGGAGTTATCATAAAGAAATCAATTGACTGTTAGCGCTCTAAAAAAATTGTCTTGCTCACAGGCACAAATACACAAGGACTCTTAATGCCCCGTTCCTCTCACTCCGCACCATCCGTCTGGGCTGCGTGTGGGCCAGGAGCTCAATAAGCAGATCATTACAGGTTGGTGCCCTTGTGTGAAATCAGATGTTTAACTGGCCATCTGAGTGTTTGACATGAGCATCTTAACCAGCACATTGCCACAGGTCTGATGTTCACTCAGCCACCAGGGCCGCTGTGAGTGCGCCCGCCACCTGCCAATAGGCATTAGGGAGGATTTAGTAATTAAGTGATAGGCTGAGGACTAAATTGGGTGTTTGCGGGCTGGCGAGCCACCCTAAGGTCCCTACAGCCATGCAGATAGGGGATTCTAATTGCCAGGAATATTGATCAGCCTGGCGAGGGGGTGCACAGGGAATTCACAAGCCATCGATTAGCTGTTACTGCCCCTCACTTGTCAATGGAAGAGGGAGGTGAGCATTGGAAAGGCTTCAGGCTTTTGCCACATTATCCAGCACCCCCCACCAGCTCCTGACAGGCCTACACAGTCAGTATCAATGACACAGCAGGATGTGATGAAAGTACTCTCTGAACTTCTCTGTAGCTCCTCCATATCTTTAAACCGCCATCATTCTCTTTCAGGCAGTCCATAGGTGAAACTGTGAGCAGGAGAAGGGCCTGCTGTAACTCTACAAGTGAGGAAGTGCTTTCTTTCCTCCCAAAGTCTCACTTCCACCCTAATTAATGTTGGATGGAGAGGGGGGTATTGAGAGGGGGTATTGCGATTGTCTGCCATCTAATATTTAATTTATTGCTTCACCTTGGTTTGGCATCGTACTCAAAGGGGCCTTTGAAAAGAACCTATAGGCTATTTGCATGGATGCTCTTTGCATCAACAAGACATGGTTTGTGTTATTCATTATGTTTGTATAGTTGACTCAGTTTACTTTTCTCTACCTTCTCAGCTGGTGTTTCATATCCTCGCCGAAGTGAATTGCACAAGCAGAGAAAAGGCTTTGTGCACAGCAGTGTCTAACTTGAGTCATTTAGAGCCCATTACAAAAGATCAATATATTGATTGAAGCAAGTGTCCCAGTGTACTGCTCTGTAAACACATGGTCGTTCTGTCTTGCATGTTTTATCTGCCTGAATCTTATCGGGTTTAAATCTTTTCATCTTTAATTCACTTAATCCTGGCACTATCGGCTTTTGAGCCAGAGCTTCTACTCCCTCTACCCGGGTTTGTTTGCCTAATTCTTGACAACAAAACGGAATATAACAACAATATAAAAGACATAATGCTAATAATATTTTTCACACATGTTTAAAGGCTCTGCAGATATGTTTGATAGTGCCATCCTTAAACTATAAATGCTCACGGTTTTGCAAGCTCCTTTCTACTTTGAATAGGAACTTTCCACAAATGGCGAAGTCTGTTCTGCGTTTAAGAGCAAACTGAAGACTGCCTCTTGTACCATAAAACAATCCAATTAGCAGAAGAAACCAGAAGATTGGAAGCAGATTGACTGGTGCATACAGCCATGTCCAAATATAATTACAAAAACAATCTTAAACTTTTAGCATGTACCCCCAACAGATTTTAACTGGAATTACAAAGCTTCTGTTGAAACACCGTCTGACAAAAAGTCATAGTATGGTGCGTCATACATTATGGTGTCATGTCCCTCGCTGCTTTAAGGTTTTTCTTTTATGTTCGTGCATAGTTGTTGTTTTTTTCTTACTCCCATTTGCTCTCGTTTCACTCACTTCACCATTATGTGCCCCTCCAGATTAGTTTGAGTTGTACAAATAAGTTATCAAAAAAGTGTTATTATAGTACCACAAAACTCCTACAAAGTCTTATTATTGTATAGTACGAAAAGTTTAGACGAGTGTCAAAAAGGTCATTAAAAAGGACTAGCAGTGTAAAATATGTAAAAGTAGAAAAAACATTCTAGCTTAATAGGAAATGGAAATAGGAAATAATGTGTTAGCTGATTTGTTGATATTTAGTAGGATAAGAATCGGGATTTTACATTTTTTTCCCATTTAAGAGTCATGATTTCCAAGGTCATCTTGTTGTCACTGAAGCGGGATTGTTTCCCTATGCTTCTCTTTTGATTGAAGCTTCACTATAACATTTATACGCCACTCAGCGTCACCCTCCAGCCATGCCCACAAATTGAATTAGTTTCAGTTGGAATTTGTGTTTCAAATCCAGTAATTATTTTGGAACCCCAGCGGACGCCAAGAGAAATGAGTCAGATCTTCACAAGTCATGAAATTTGACGATATATGAATTTACACCAACCAAAGGGACACAAGCCTGAAGCACAGCAATTTACCAAGCATTCATCTGTCAGCAAATTAAATTACACCACATGTGAAATCTTTCAGAAAGTTTCATAAATCTGATGAAAAAGTTTCTCTCCCAATTACCATGTGAAATTAATCTCCTTAATCCCAATTTGATCTCTTTCATGCGTATAGGGGGTATCTTTCATCTGCCCACCTATGTGCTTCAAATCTCTTCCACAGAATTAAGAGAGAACTTGGTCCTCCGTGAAACAACACACATAAAACTCTGTGTAGATAAACAAATGGGATAAGAAACATTAAAAAATAAAGATCAATTTGCCAAATGATGGAAGAATGGCAGGAGATGCCTTAGCACCAAAACACATGATCAGTCTAAAGACCATTTGCAGACATTGTGAGCAGCGAATTCCGAAAATGCACTCTTTGTTGCCCAAAACTGTTCCCAGCATTCGAGTAGACCGGACAGTAGTTGATTCAGATCAGACCGACACAGAAGTCCTCCCCTCTGACCCGGCTATGACCCAAAAGCCCTGAGCAACGCTATGATGTAATGCGCTACAACACATATGTCGAACTCGGGGCGTCTAGTGCGGCCCGCCTGACTTTGCTATTGTGAGAAATACAGAAAGATCTCCACACATGCGCGGTCGCTTCTGACAGAGGAGAGGCTCGTCGTGTCTCCTTATTGATTGGTTTTGCACGTCTCATCTCCTTTCTTAACAGTGGGTATTAGTTCAAGATAGCCAGAGCGATGTTCTTTATACCCTAATCTGGATCTTTGACTCGACCACTCAGCCTTTTTCTCAGAAAGAATCACAACCTCCACAATAATTCTACACAAGTTCAGATTCTAATGTGAGGAAAAGGGGAGATGTTGATTTGCACTCTCTCTGTATTCCTAAAGCTGATTAGATATAAAAAAAAAAGTATATTTCTTCATTAAAGGCCTGGATTTTCATTAGGATTTAATGCTTTTTAGCTTATTAGCAACACCCAGACCTCAATAATTTAACATTGTATAGGTATTTTTCTTAATTGTATATTTGTTTTGGTGTGGCGCTCCAGGTGTACACATTGTTTCTGGCTCCTTGCTCTACTGTGCCATTATTCTAATTGATGTGTGTGACTGTACATGCATGATTGCATACATGTGTATGTCTGTGTATGTATGTTTGTGTGTGTGTGTGTGTGTACTAACTCCTGAGCCAAAAGCACATCTGTGGCTCATCTCTGCAGCCTGGCGTCAGCCTCCTTAAGTGCTGTCAATGTCACATGGTAACAGCAGCACAGCAATCTCTTAATTGGTTTAGGAAAAGCATCCTTGTCATTTTGCGGTCAGTAAACTCTGCTGAAGAAAATGAAGTCCGAGCTGCTGCCGCCATCTCCTCAACCCCCACACAGCCGGCCCAACAAAAAAACAATCATTATGTGCCGTGTATATTTGTGCGTTCGCTGTCTGTTTTCACTTTATGCTTTCAGAAATAATTGCTGCTGGTTGTGCGGCTGCATTAGAGAGGGGGCATTAATGATTCTCACTGGCGGCGAGAAAACACTGCTTTGTAAAGGGCGGGTTTTCTAGAACTAAACGCGTGTGTATTTGTGCCTGAATGTGTTTGTGTTTGGTAATGTATTTTTAGTCGCGTCCTCATTTTGTTGTGCAGTACATATGCAGCCTATCACAAATACGCCAGCAGTGAGTGCAGAAATGTGTGTATCTCTGAATCTCTTTACTAAATGCGTGCACGTGCGTGTGTGTGTGTGTGTGTGTGTGTGTGTGTGTGTGTGTGTTAAATGTATGTGCATAGCAGTCCTTTTTGCACGGATTAGCCGGTGAATCCTGCAAGAGGGCGATCAGACTGGGAGCACACCAGGGTTGCTCTGCGATCACAAAAGGATTATAAGGGATGTGGAGCCGCGGTGCATTCCAGGGCCGCCTCCAGTCAGGCTCATCTCCGCCACGCTCCCCTCACACACACCACTTTAATTGCCTTTGGTTCTTTCATTACTTTTATTGCCTCTCCTCTGCATTGCGGGCTCCCTGGGCTTGTGGAAAGGTCACTGTGACGGGGGTGATGGTGGTGTGCTCATAGCCGTGGTCTCCCTGACTAGCAGGAAATGGCTGTGGGGCTGACGCTGGAGGAATGAGACACACAGCGAGGTAGGAACCGAGAGGCGAGTTTTAATCTTAAAGACAAATTCATCTTTTCAAAATGTCGGTAAAATAAGACACCAGAATTTTTGAAAGCCGCCAAACTCGTCATTCTCATCTCGTCGTGCCTCACTGGGAGGGATACAGATAATCGATCTTCACTCTGACTATCTATTGAGGGTGATGTGAAGTTAGGCGAATGCATAATCGTTGCATAATAAAAGCGCTTTTATTACATGACAGATTGTGGGCCTAGCATTAGTGATATCCAGACATGGAACAGTGAAGAGTTGGCAGCGCTTGGATGAGGGACATGTTGCCGTATTATCGCATCATCTGTGCACAAAGGGCAGTAGTAGTGTTAGCAGCATCCAATAACAGTTTGCATTGTAGTAAAATGTGTTACCTTCCTAATAAATACATATAGAGATTCCATCATACTTACTATATGTTGGATTACTTTTTACTTCATGATTGAGTTTGTAAAAACAGAATGACATTATGTCGTATATATGGGATATTCAAAATATAACCATTTCTCATATCTGCATTTTACTCACTCTGTCTTCCTTTGACTCTGTCGCAGTCCCAGGTGCAGGTTTTGTGTTCGGTTCCAAGGCTCTTGTGTCTACAAGATGCTCTCCTCTGTCAACCAGTTGTTCTTTAAACGTAAGTAAGGCCTTAATACACACGTTATTACTGCTGATGTCTCGGCACCAAAATAATTGGTTTCTTTTCCAACAAAAGCTAACACACATTTTATCATATCCCTACATTGCTGCAGGCAAGCAACTGAAAAACTGGCACCTAAAACAAAGAGCAAAGGACAAATATCAACCATCTCTGCCAAAAAACTAAGTGGACAGAGGAGTTATATTTGGGAGCTTTACTCTGAATTACATTGCAAGTTTTGTTTGTGAACATGTCTTTGTGTGTGTGTGTGTGTGTGTGTGTACAGGCACACAGGAATCCATCTGGAGGAGGGAGACTCGGCAAATTGAGGTCAGGAGACTTAAAGCTGAGCTTGATGACTGTAGGATTGAAGAGGAGGAGGTTCAGGTTTGTACACAATGAAGTCACTGAGCAAATCTAGAAACTATTGTTGTGCGCTGTCCAATTTTTACATTTGGTTAATACAGAGTATGACACCTTTACAGCTTTTCCATTTACTGATACAATGCATCTACAGGTGCTTTTGTAGAGGTCATCCGCTTGCTTTATTAACTCGAGGTGTACATCACTGTCAACCACAATCATATGTCATGCTGGGTGGTCAGTGTTGCAACCGATCGGAAGCTTCAAACCAGAGTTGGTCAAATTAAAGCAATACTTTTAATCCTCCACTCTCCATATTTTTCTTTAAAGCTGATGCTAGATGCAGATTTTGCAGATTAATTTGACCTTTTATACAAAAGTTGCTGCGACTGTTGCTTTCCTTGTCAGGCCTCTAAGGCCAAGTGCACAATTCTTTGTGAAATAGGTCCATTTGTTCCAAAAACAAAAATCTACAGCCGATTCCTACCATGAACAAAAATGGATGCATCCTTTAACCTTTAAGTTATTTAGTGCAACATGGAAGTCTGTGATCTGAGCCGGAAGGTTTAGCGACTTTGTCATTGATCGTTCTTCTGTGTCACTATCTAACTAAACTATCGTGGTCCTGGCAAGGACTACTTCTCCTCCAAAAGAAGCAGCAAATCTGTACGAGCTCTGTGCCTTCATGTCCTCTGCCATTGCTGTGGCCGACTCCAGAGACAGTGTCAGTGACAAAGCAGTGAGCGTTCAGACGGAGCAGAAGTGTTTCTTGAGTGGCTCGTCTGAAACACGGGTCAATACAAACACTCACCAGCACATCACAGACAGTATCACTGAAAAGCAAAGCTGCTGCAGAACTCCCAGGATTTTATCGGCTGTCGTGTTGATTTAGCTTGTTCGGGGATTAGCATAGGCCTCAGTGTGTTTGTGTGACTAATAGTCTTGTGTTTTCTGGCTGTGAAATCGGCATCCTGAGAGCCCTGAACAGCCTGCACATGGTTGTTTGAAGTCTGCCGCACCCCCCCCCACCCCGTGGGGTCCGGCCTCTGGTTGCTGCTGTTAATACAGCACCAGCACACATTGTGTCTCTATCTCACAAAGCAGAATTTCTCCTTTACCGACAGCCACGTTTAGCCCTCCTCTCCTCCTGCACCCAGGATGACCTCCACTGCTATCCATCATCCCCACCTGTGCGGCCCAGCCCCGACTGATGGCAAAATCTTGTTAACACATTTGTGCGATTAGCTGGGAGCTGTTGAGGCCGGCACAGGGAGGTGGTGATCAGGAGATGGTACCGTAGGGGTCCCTCCGCTCTAGCTTAACCTTTCATCCAACTGACCCAAGGGCCATCTCTCCTCTGACCAGGCGGACAATGTCCAAGCTGGACACAAGACACTTAACATGTCACTCAAGCATCACCACGGAAAGTTTTTGTTCAGTATATTTAGTTTCGTGCAGTTTGAGCAAAGGTTATTTGTTAGTGGAATCGTGTCCCACAGCAAAGTCGCGTGATTTGTCTCAGCCAATAGCACCTTGCCTTAAAGTAAGCCAGATTTGTGTTACCTGCCACATATTTCTCTCCAATATCCTCTCAGATTGAAAGCAGAGAAATGGGGCTGATTGAACGGATAGGTGTTGGTGGTGGAAGGACGGAGCGAGCGCGAGGGCCAGTGGAAAAAGATGTGAACCCAATCTGCTATGTGTGTACTGTACTGATTAGGGGCTTGTGCTGGGAAGAGCCTTTTTATCCCCTCATTCCTTCTGTTTACTTTGAACCCCACCACCCTTCTCAACCCAGGCATCACTGCAACCAGAGGGCCCTCCTCGCTCTTCTATTCTGAGCGTAGCCACATCACCTGCAGCACTGGAGGCACAAGTGCTCCTTTGTATGCCAAACTAGTCCAACCGAAAAGATGACGGCTTAACAAGGGCCTTAAGAGGTTTGGTGGAGTTACTTAATCCATTAGGGAAAGTGGAATAAGCAGTGTGGTTGCAAATAAGAGGAGATATGTGACATTTCTCAGTATTTGCTGGATTTATGGTGTTCCGACAGCGCTTTGTATGTGTTTGTATTCAAAGTGACCAGTTGTGAGCCGATGCAGACTCAGCCCATTAAGGGCAGCCGGGTGACTTGCCGGAGCAACATGCAGCTAATGTTTTGGGCTGCTGGAACGCCTGCAGGGAGCCAGAAGTACAGAAGTGGGCTGAAAGCAAAACAGATGTCCAGGGAATAATAATAAATAGATAAATAAGAGGATGGAATGGCATGAGAGAAGCTATGGAAATAGCACGTCTATTCTCAAGCAGCAGGTTTGTTTATTTATGGCGTCTGAAGGCCCGGTCATGATGCCGATTGGGGGCCGGGGGACCACAAGCGCAGGCTTTCCCTCTCAGAGCTCAGCTCCCTAGCTTTCATTAAGTGTCATTACCAGTACTTTGAGAGAGCTGGCCGGGCTGAGACCTGACATCCCCCCTGCAGATAGTTGGCCTTGCATATGGATGGATTTCTGATCCCTCTTATCCACCACTGAGGAGGGGGAATTAGGCAAGCGAGAAGGAGAGCGGGCGAGCGAGGGGGGGTGCTTAAAGGATGCATCCATATCTGACTTAAATGCCAAACATGGAGCTATTACTTCAATTGAGGGACAGTGTTCATGCTTGGTTTGTTTTCATATGTCACTCAGGTTATCAACATTGTGAGTGTTTCTCTTGAACATTTGCCTTTTTATGAACGGGTCATGCACACCCATGACTATACGACCGAATACATTTCACGCTCCCGTGCAGGACTGTGTTGGGCCACTTTTAAAACAAACTGCACTGTCATTTTAACATGTGCATCTTTGAACAGCATGGTGTTCATTAGCAAATTGGTCTTCCTGTTGTGCTGAAGGGAATGAAATATTCATTTTGTATGCTTTTCTGAGCAGAAGTTATCTAGATTCAGAGTAAATGGTACTCTGGATTAGATTTTCACAGCAGATTGCTGTTATTAAGGGGAAAAAGCCAACCCATTTGAGCAGTCATCTTCCAGGGAGGCAATCTATTTCTCTTTCACGCGGTAAGAGTGCTGGACCAGGCTCTTAATGCACTGAAGCAAAAGTGCTTCAGTCCGCAACCTTTCACGCCTTCAGCTCTCCTTTATGTGATTGAATAGTTAATAACTATGAGTCGTCTTTGAAAGCTCTGGGCCCGTCGGCCCGTCTGAGGCACTTTTCTGCTTTTTGTCTGTTTGGCTGATGTACCTGCCCATTGCCCCGTCTGTCTGCACGTCTTGCTCCAGACGCCAGGTCGACTGTCCACCTCCTCTCCACCAATCCCCTCTTAATTCTGTCTTTTTCTCGCCTAACTTGCCACTTGGTTGTCTGGCTTAGTCTGAACATCAACACTTTGAGGGCTTGGGGGATCAGCTTTTCATGTCTTATTTCCTCTTTCCCATACACATTCACAAACAGACACACACACACACACACACGCGCTCACACGCGCTCACACAGCTCATTAGACCATCCCGAGCTCATAGCTCCGGCAGAATGTGACCCGGCCTAATTGTGTACCATGCTCATTTGTTTTCCCTGCATGATGTGACGATTGCTTATTTATTCTCCTCAAGGCTCCCATCTCACATTAAAATGATTGACTCATTTCATTCACTGCACATTTTCAAGCTTTATTTGATAAGCTCATTTCCCTTGGCGTTCATATAGCTCCTTTTCCATTGCTTAAAAGTTATTATGTTGCAGAGGCACATTATTATTCATACTCTGGATTGTTTCTTTTGGCTAATTATCTGTGTTAGAAAACACTTTTTTTGCGAGTCTGTTTATTCCGGTGGAATTGAGCAGCACAAAAGGGCAGACATTACCGATGCTGTTGGAATTGCTGAAAAGCCAATTGTGTACACAAAGCTGGCAGACGCAGTCAACAAGAAGCTTAAGAGGGATTGGGACACCGGAAGCTCGGACAGAAAAAACAGAAAAAAATGTGCATTCCGTTGGAATTTACATCTGGCTTGAGACCTTTTACAAATAAAAAGCCATCAATATTGTAAAAAATATGTTTTCACACAGCAAAGGGCATAACTATTACATGCATATGGGGGATTTGGGGCAGCATTGTCATGCGATGGTTTTGGCCATTTTTATTTGGCCAGCTGACAGTCGACGTTTTCACCCCTCAGCTACAGCAGCTAACCTGCTCCGTGCCCCGGTTCAGACGGCACAAGAAGTCCATGTGATTGGCTGATGGCACCAACAACGTACGTGTGAGGCGTCATCACACTGGGTATTGAAATACTGCGATGAATAGGAAATGTTTCTGGTTGATTGGAGAACTTTGAGAACTAGACTTGTTTGATTTACGAGGACACTAGAGAGTATTGCACTTCCATAAAGTTGCAGGACTGAGCAAAGAAAAACGCATCTTTTAGTCCCTAAGCTCCAAAAACACTGAATCCTACTTTTCGCATTATGCAGCGACAGCATCTTTTATTAAACGACTGATGATCAGATGATCAGATTTGGATGCTACTTTGATAAAGCAGAACCCACCTTTCAATTCCCAGGAACAGATATATTTGCTTTATTAATGATAAGCACCTAGAAAGGATGATTTATTACAACCCAACACGTTTTCAGGTCTGTATTCTTACTTCACTATTTGTACAGGTTTTTTTCTTTTGTTTAGCAGGGGTCTTTATCTAACAGATATTTTTTTGTTATGAGCTTTTTTGGCCATATGTGAATTGTACTATAAAACTTGGACTACTTGTAATCAAAAATGTTTCTGCATCATATTTAACTCTACCATATCAATGTAAAACGCTTTCAGGAATAATTCAATTCCGTACCTCTTTATCTTTCAGTAATCACATCAGAGCTTTGATTTCACTAGTTTTTAGCACATGCAAGTGGAATACAGGAGAGTTCAAATGAATTTTGATCGATTTCTAGTGACTAAGCTTCTGTATGATGATTTCACAACAAAGGAAAAGATGAGTGCTTTTGGATGTGTTTTGAGTCACAGAGCAACTGTTCCTAGAGCCACAGACCCCACAAGCCACTGCAGCCAAATCTTAATGAGTACGGGCAGATGGACAAGAAACTGCAGCCAAATACAAAAAATAATAAAGGCATCTAAACCCTAACAAGCCTCCCTTTGTTCTTCCACTCCACCCACCACAAGTTGTCTGTGTGAACGCAGGCATTGTTGCTGCTTTGAGGGCAGCTCTGAGAGTTCCATGCCCATCGGCCTTCAATCACATGGGATGTCTAAGTTTGACAGTATAAAGTCTTTCTTCTAGAACAAAATAGGACCCCTAAGCAATAGTGGATGAGCTGTTAGTAACCGTGCAGTCCGTAGGGAGGAAGACCAAGCATACTGGTACAGTATACACAAAGGGTTGGTTAGGGATAAGACAATGGACCAGTTAAAGCATTATTGCGTGCTTCAACAAATTTCTAGGATTTACTGACAGAAGAAAAAAACGCGTCGGTTCCGTTTGGTGGAATTCCATTTGAGTTAATACAGACTGAAAGCAAAGTTCACGAAAACCAGTTTGTAATTTTGAGAAGAATATTAGCGCTTTAAACAAGAAATATTGAAAGTGATAAATGTTAGAGCAGTTTCGCTTGTTCTTGGAGCGTCCTGTGATCTCGTGTATTTGGTCCTGCCGTTGTTTGGTTTGACTTTTCAGAAGGCGTCATTGAGGACATAACATCTGCTCGACACAAAAAGTGCCGTTTTCTGCCCCGGCCGGATCAATAGGCGACATTCTTTCCAGTATAGCAGTCAATAAGCCACACTTAAGGTGTCTGAGGAAACTAAAGAGAACCAATAATTGTTATTAATGCGTCGGGCGTCCCCCAAGTGTTGCATTTAGAGGCAGTCACCATCTAAAAGACATTCAGCCTCATAATCCTCCCGGGCTCCAGTGACCCGTGAATACTCAAAGAATGGTGACCAATTAAAGAGAATCATTTGTTTAAAAAATGCCAGATATGCCTGTAGAGTTGACATTCAGGAGGATTTTTAGCCACTCTAATGGTGTGACTGCTTGCTTTGGAGTAAATTAATGTTGGATGGATTAGCGTGATATTTTATGCAGACATGTTTGATAGCTCCTATTAAGACTGAGCCAATAGTGTTGGTTGTGACTTATTATTGGCATTACATGTAATTTAAAATAAAATGGTGGCACGTGACACAAAAACATTTCCACAGCAGATAGGATTATAATAAAAACGTAAAAATGTTAATTGTTGCGTTTGCTTTTGATTAAGAAATACACATGTTGATTGATTCAGCATAATCTACTATACTGACTTTTTTATTTTAACATTTATCCTCTTTGTTTATTTTAGTTTTAAAATGTTGCAGGAAGACAATCACACATTGTATACAAAGCCACGCTATCAGCACGCGCTGTTATTACGTGAAGTACAGCCAACAACAAGCACGTACGCTGCTTCCATCATAACCCACATGTGGGCTCTGAGGCGGTGAAGGGGAGGGACCACAGACGACGGCGAGTGTAACATTCAGAATTCAATCAAGTGAAGGCCATCTCCAGCGGGGTAACGAGGAGCGCAGGGTAGTACGGGGGGGGGGGGACTGAGCTGAAGTTTCCACCGGCCCTGCTGTGCTCCTGATGCAGCCTTGGATGTAATTGGGTCCCAGAAGGATGTTCATTACGGGCGGGGTGAGGCCACAAAACGTCTCATTCTTTGCTCAGCGCCTCCGTCCGAGCACCATTATGGGACAAGAGTTAATTAAAAGAGCAGTTGATGCCTTTGTTTTTCTCGTCCATCTCACTCCGGCTCTTATTGAGTTTGTAATGACAGCAGAGCTCGTCCCCGTCTCCCACCAGACGTCCCAACGAGGGGGAGAATCAGAGGGAGGCCACGCTGGGGGCAGTTAAAGCGAGGGACCGCTCATCTCAACGAATCTCGCAGTGGTCAACAAAGAACATTTGCTCTAATCCCTCCATCAAATCTCTGGGCGGCGATGGTCCGTCGTGGCGGGAGAGCTGTACTTTATTCGGGGTGTGGTTGGAGAGCTAATTTAAGAGGCGGGGCTTACAACCCTAATCCCGTGACTCCCATCTCCGCCGCTTTGGAGGTCATTTCATTTCTCTCCATCATTACAGGGACAATCCCTGGGAAGCTTTAGTAAAGGTGACTGCTGACACTGTCATTCGCAAAGGACTATTTCAAAATGTCAGCCTATAGCTGAGATTTGTCTCATTAAAGTTGGCGGAGTCCATTATGTCCCTTCCCTCCTCCGCCTGCCACACTCAATCAAGAGGACTTGGGAGGATTGAGGGAGTGAGGGGCCGCTCATCATCGTGAATATTAGCATGAGGGTTACAGTGAGACAGACGATTATTGACCAACAAAAAAAGCAGGGAAAAAAACTTTTGAGTTGTTGCACGCTACAGTAAGACTATAATCTTTTTTTGTTTTTTTTCCCCCCCTCCAAAATGCCAGCTCGTAGGAGCGGTATCAGCCAAGAGACATCAAGAAATGTCAAGCTAACCGTGATGAAGGCACTGGAACACCATGCAAGCTTTTGTTCAGCAGTCTTCTGACCTGGAGATTTACATGAAGCTTCAATAAAGCCAAACAGAAGATCCGCCCACATGTAGCCCGGCTCTTCATCTAAAGCACATCAACGTCTTCACAGCTGAGGGGTTTCAAAGCCCAGGGATCACTCATGTAGATATGTGACATCTGTGGGTGCGAGTGTCGGAGGGAGGGGGGGAGGGACAGACCCGGGCTTTTTGTTTCTCTCTGATCAGCTTCTCTCGCCTCAGCTCGCAAATGGGAGCAGACAACGAAAAACACCCATTCTGGGGTTTTTTCATTACGTCCGTTCCAGTTGTGCAGCTCGCAGGCGGCGTTTGAGTCGTTTGATTTGTATATTTACATTTTTAGGCTACAAAAGGCCCATGACCTCGCTGACCTCGAGCTAGTTGTGAGAATAAGTGAATCCGATGAACAAGTCGGTTTCCCAAACAAGTATATAATACTATAATGTGCACGGTTTGTTGATTTAATAAAAATAAATATTCAACTTTTCTATCAATTGTTTTAGTCGAGAAGAAAAGAAAAAAAGATATTTTAGTAAATGACAATTTACAAATATTGAGCTGAGGTAGATGCATTTCATCTGCCACCATTTTGATAAGTATTTTAATTTGATTTGGGGATGGGGCTTGTTGTCTAACATGACAAGTCGGTTGAGGACGTTACCGTGGACTATTCAACGATTGGCACAAGGTGAATCATTAAAAAAAAGTTAAAAGACAGCCCACATTTCAGTGGTCTTTTAAATGTTATAGAAATAACTTAACGCAGGACACAAAATGAAATAATCATTCGTTGAAACCCTGAAGTAAGGTTTCATTTTCAGCGCACGATAAGCCTCTTGCTGTGGGAGGGTTGAAATGTAGACATGGTGTCTGTGCACGGCTGAGAACTTTTAAATGAATCGTTCTGTTTTATTTCATAAGGAGACCAATGAAAACCTATTAGAGAAATAATAGCCCAATAATTTGAATGCAAAAACATTAAAGAAATGGGCATGTAATTGACATAATTATGCTAAGCACTTGCAGTGCAGACACATAATGGGACACTAGCAACGATACCAAATGAAATCATCTCGGATTAAAAAAAAAACTTCTCATTTACAAAAGATGTTGGGGAAAAAAAAATCCATTAGCAGTCCTTCTGCTGTCCTAGATCAATTGTATAAAAAAGACAAAACATTTCCACTCCCACTATCCAAACACGGCCTTCACTAAAATGTTTTGTCAAAGAAGGACCAGCACATCTGAAGCTGCACGATACTCTGATCAGCTGAGGAGAGAGCGGCGTAAACAGATTCACCGTCTCCCAAAAAGCTCAAAGGAAACGGGTTGCTATTTTTACACACGGGACCCATGAAAATAAACAGTTTGATATGTTTATTCCAGCATAATGTTTTGTGGGAAGCTGGAGCAGTGGTACATAACACTGGCGGACAAATTTTACCGGAATGTAAAAATAAAAAAAAGGTCAATTGCCTACATGAGTGTGTTGAGTGTGTATTGGGGAGGGTGGGGGGGGGGTCATTACAATACATCTCTAGAGTCCGAAGACACTCAAGGACAGTTTGAATAGTGCTTCAGTCTGCAGCGGAGCACTTCATGGCAGCACATCTGCGGTTCAAGCCACAGCACAATAACTAATAAATGCATGGACACAAAGACTACACAGATTAGATCACAATTTACCAGTTCCTCCCTGGTGATCTAACCGGGATTGAAGAAATGCAGAACAGAACGTAGAAAAGTTAAATGTTTCTAGCTCAGGTAAAAACATTACTTTATAGAGACGTCTTTAAAAACACTTCAGTAATGACCACATATAAATACTAAATATACAAAACAAAAAATCAATCCTTTATCCCTTACTATGCATCACGGAAACAGCTACCTGCTGACAGATGTGAAGGGAGGCCTTTTCCGACGGTTCGGCTCGTCTTGTGCCTTATACAAGTTCTCACTCTAGTGGTCGGTACATGAACTGCACTTGATTCTGGCCATGCTGGGAGGGACAAATGGCGGTTGTAATTACACTGTTTGCTTGTGCTGCCGTGGTCCGATTCAGGGTGACAATTACTCTGGGGGAACCGAGGAGGAGGGTGGGCGGTGGGAGGGGGGGGGTTGATGGGCTTTTTTGGGAGGTTGTCGCTACAGTCCAAAGCGGGCGGGCGTGCGTCTGGGCGTCATGGGGGCCTCTTCTTTTCTCCCTGGTGTGCAGATTTTCGGAGCCCTGAAATCAAGAGAAAAGTCTGTGTTAAGCATCAGCGTTTTTATTGCTCTGTTCAGTCCGGCCTGAACGTCCCTTACATCAGGCAAACAGTTGCGGTGGAAGGAGGCCGGAGGGGAGGCGGGACCGGCCCGCGTGCGAGCATGAAAGGGAGAGGACGGCCTGCAGCAGGCTGGTGTCTCAGTGAGGAGCGTTGGGATGTAGAGCGCCTGACACGTCTGACAGCACAATCTATCATCTTTAATTACAGCAGTGCAACATCCCGACACGGCCCACACTTCTCCAATCTCCCTTTCTCTCTGACGTGCTTCCTCCCCTTCTGTGACACACACACACACACACACACACACACACACACCTGCAGCAATTACAACCATCGGGCCATAACCGCCTTCTGTCACTGTGTCCCAAACTCACTGTCTTGTAATAAATGGCAGTTCTTTCAATACACAAGCTGCCAGTAGTTTCCTATCGGCAACGCACACAGAAGCAGACTATACACTGCACAGACAGGAAGGTGGACAATGCACACATGTGCCGTGTTTACGGAATTTAAACTTTGGCAGGCTTAAATGGACTTTTTTTTTTTTTTGCAGCATTCCTTACAAATTCAGGGTACATTATATTAAACAATTCAGCCACGCATGCTGCTGTGTTTCCGTTGGCAGTTGTGGTCCTACAAATCTAGGTATCCACTAGTATTCATTCATTTCTGGTCAACAAGAAACTTGCGTTTCCGATTCTCTTCTTCCCATAACGTTGTACGACGCTTGTAGTAACAATCAGAATCAGCAGAGTCGGCGCCAAAGACAAGACCTTGTACCGGGTGTGAATTGACGGTGCCAAATGGTCTCCATATGACTCCCATGCAGCCTTTAACGGGTTCTCACGCATTATAAAAGTCATTTTTGAACAGGGGAAAACAAAAAAGTACAGTAATGTACGACAGAAAAGTAGAAAAAAAAACTGAGAAGCTTGAACCAACGATGGTTCAACCGTTGCCTACTCATCCACTTCAGACGGTACCAACGCGGTACTGAGTTTAGTAGCCGTCCTTAGGTGAGCAGGAAAGTACTTGGGAAGCTGAACCGTGTTGTTTGGTCCTTTAAGCGCTTCATAAGGAATCAAACAAGCACTTCTATCTCTTGCCATACTTTCCGTCTAAAACACCAAACAACCAACTGGGTCATTGACTAATTCACACCACTGGTCTATACTGGTGAGCAGGGAGTCAGGTGATACACATGATGGCGTACCCGAAAGAATATTTCATCTCGGTCACACTGAACTCATCGGAGACACTTGCGAGGCCGGCCGGAGGACAAAAGGCAGCTGAGACATTCATCATCACACATCCAGCCTCCTCGGCCTAAATCTAATCTTTAATCCTATACTTGCAGTGTGATTATATTCAACAGATCTGTTAGAGGTGGTCACAAACTCAGACAGATAAACCAGCTGATTAATTAACAGTAAAAGTTATTTTTAAATGCGTCTTTATAACCTTATTTCTCTCTGTAAAGCCTACGGATGGGTGTGAAATTAATTTTTGGGTTCTAATTTGAAAGTGAGCGCTCCCCTCCCTTTTCTGCTCGGCTATGGCACAATTTAAATTGCTGCAGTAATGGGGGTCAGCCAGGAGTCAATATTATTTCTTTTTGTCTCGTCTGCAGGGACCAGAGGTGATAAAAGCTCATCATGAAGAGTGAGAGAGGTGGAGTAGAGCGAGTGGGAGAGGAGGAGCGGCAAAGATATGAATTTGCGGTGAGGAAGGTAAATCAATGGGTTTTTTGTACGGTTTATCTCCACCGTGTATGGAAAAGGGGAGCCTCGAGGAACCATTGTTAGATGAGGACCCGTGTGTGACGAGGAGGCCAAAGGAGGAGAGATGGTCGCCGACTTACTTAACGATGGCGGTGTTGGTCTTCTTCTCCTGCTCGTCTCGACGTGATCGCAGCTGCTCCTCAGCCATGGACATCTCCTCCTCCATGTTGGTGAGCTCCTCCTTGGCCCGCCGGCGGTTCTCCTGGAAAAGCAACGCAAACAGATGAGGCAGAGATACAGAAAGAAAAGAAATACCCCCTATAAACTGAACCTGCAGCAGCCGGCTGCAGTAGGTGCTGGCGAGGAACTTATGCGCTTTCCTTACCTGTCGGCTTTTTCCTGCATGTTTGATGCTGTAAAACATTGGTCCAAGTTCTGCTAGCCACTCTCCATCCACTGAAGTCACACATTGCATGTACTCCTACAAACAAGGAAGCAGCGGTTACACAGGAGCCATCACTATCTATGATATGCTGTTTTAATGCTTGCTGGACTTTTACCTTGGTGGTCATGACGAGCTCGTGGTAGATGATGTAGTCGGGGGTGTAGCCCATACCAAACAGGGAGCTGGTAGGGTGGAGGTGACACGGCATGCCCGTCCTCACGTTCACATATTCACCGATTCCCTGGGCGCAAACGCGGGCATTAATGACAAATTAAAAACTGGATATTTTATCCAACTTGCTTTTCCATCTGGTTTAGACAGCAAGAACATACATTTGCAGTATATGCAACTCTCTTTCAATGTGCAACGTCCGTTGGACGGACTACTTTGATTAAACAGTCATGATTTCAAATTCCTTTGATGTCAGCTGTGTATTAATGTGGCGGCAGAAGGGATATTCCACCACTTGCCGCTATAAATCTGCCGCAACCAGTTGCCGCAAGGTGTAACACAAACTAGAGGATAGTGCAGGAAATACCTTGAGCTTGGCAGCCTGGTGGAAGTATGCAGCACAGATGCACTTTCTGATGATGTCCCAGTCGGACCCGCAGGAAATTAAGTTCATCCTCTGCTGCACCATGATGTCCTTTAACTGGGAGCGCACCTCACGCACCTGGACAAGAACAATATGCATTCAAAGCAGAGCCACGTAGAAAACACAAACAATCTGTTGGCCGGCAATCAACCGTTTTAGGGGAAATTTCTATTAGAATAATTGCTATGTTGAAATGTAGGATTCAGCAGGATGGTGAAAATGCCTCTAAGGATCTAAATCATATGGCATTGATACTCAAACACCAAATTAAAACGCAAGAACGTACAATTTGAACTGGAATCCAATTAAAAACCGGGTGACAGACTTCCATCCCGGGCCAGAGGGCCTTGGTAAGAGGTAACAGGTGAGGCAGCGGGGGCTGACCTTGCGCATGGCCTTCGTGTGGATGAAGTGGTCGTTGCACCAGATGCTGGAGTAATTGTTGTTCTTCCACTGCATGTAGACGTTGAGGTAGGTGAGGTGGTCGCTCTCTGGGACGGAGAACTTCTCCCTCACCTGGTCACTCTCCTCCTCACGGCCCTGCAGACACACGCAGAATCAAGATTTTGCATATATAGCTGGGATTATTCTTTGTGCATTAAAATATATATATATATATATATATATATATATATATATTTATTGTTCCACTATATTTTGGCCACGCAGCCTAACAGTATTTTTACCAAAAAAAAGGTACCATTGGCTAGAATAGTGTTGTCTTAATATCATTAGGTGTCATATATTTTGCCTAAAAGTGTGTAACTGATTGTCAGATTAAATAAATTCAATTGAAATAATACCCCCACAATATTTATTATCAGTTCTTAAATCAAACTGAGTGAATTTTAAACAATGGCTGAATTTAAAAATAAATAACAATGTGACTTGTGAATAAAGAACTTCATTTTAGAAAAAGTTTTATGTTCTTCTCATTTTCATAAAAGAGAAATTTGTCTAAAGGGACAGTTATGGAAACGACTTGTTTCAGCCTTCCTCTTTTAACATTGTTTGGAACTGAATAAACGCGTCATCATACTCAGCTCTTGGATTGTTTATTTTCTGCTTCATTAATTTGGATGTTTGTCGGAACGTTTGCTCAAAAAGATACTTGATTTAATCTTCAGTGACGCATCGCGCTGCTGCTTTTGAACAGACAGTTTGAAGAATGAACTTCTACAATGGAGAGTACAGATATTTGATCCCTTGAGGTGGATTACAACATAAAGGAGACCAGAAAGTGACCTCTGTACCGAACAGCATGTGTCTGGATTTGACATCGTATGTATCTATTGAGCTGTACCTTGGGTCTGTAGAAGATGGCCGGCACAGAGAGCATGGAGACGATGATGAGGATGTCCGCACTGCAGCTCATGTCGCAGGACACAATCAGCATTTTGGAAAGGGCGGGGTCGAGGGGAAACTCCACCATCAGACGCCCCGTCGGTGTCAATGCACCTGAGAGGAGGAAACAGAACACACCTACAAGGTTAGTCGAGGAGATTAGGAAAGTGCAATGTGAAGAATTAAAAAGGAACAAGACGAGTGATAAGCTCCTTTTCCATCAAAAGCCTGCCGGCATGAGGGAGAAGCGAACATAACGTGACACTTATTTGTCCATCACCGTGAGAGGATGAACTGCTGACAGTTGAGGGGGGCGGGGAGGAGGAGAAGACCGAGATCAAAAACTTTTCCAGCTCCGATTTAAATGATTAGACGACAAGAGTCTAAGAAGCTTACAAGGAGGAGAAGCAGAGACGCAGAGCAGCCAGTTTGGGGCAGGTAAGCCTTAATCAGAGATAATCTGCTGTTAACACACCATACAGGAAATCATCAAAAGTCCCTCCTCATCCCCAAATCCCTAAATCCCCTGGAATCTGGCTAAGGACGGGACCGAAATGAGACCCAACCAGTCAAATCAAACACAGGATCAGTTACCAGGCAATTACTCTACCGGCTAAACTTCACAACTACCTCCTCGAGGCCCGTTCGCTGCGTCTGCATAATCACTGCAGCATAAGTTCCTGCCAGCATGGGGCTCAACACAACCCCCGAAACACACAGCCTTCTCTGCCGGTCTCATCTTCAGCTCAACCGGATTCATGTTCCTCGCCCCCCGTGGATACAAGACTGGTCTGCTAACGTCTGTCCGTCCGACGGAAACTGATTAAACATAATTATTTCCAAAAAATAATAATATTATCAACATTATATGGTCAATGCAACTTTCCACAAACACACCTGTGTTGTCCAGAGCTCCCAAAATCCACAGCTGGTACATGGAGTTCAGCATGTTGTCTTCGGGTGGGGGATCCATGAAGTGGAATAGAAGCAAATCCTGAACACCTAAAGACTTCAAGAGCAGGACCACGTTGGCCAGGTTGGTCCTCTGGATCTCCGGTATGGTGGTAGTCAGCATCTCATTCTTATAGGCGCTCTGGGTGTAGAGCCTGGATGGGGAGGAGGAGGACAGAGACAGACCTATGAATGGGAAATTGATTGTTTTGGGACAGAGGATGAAGTGATCGGGGATGAATATGTTGCTGTATGTGTTATTGCAAATAAGCAGGAAGCACTAGATATTTGTCAGCTGCAGAAAGCTCAAATCTATTAAAAGGGGACCATCTAGCTGGTCGAGTTAAAGTAAAGAGACCTTACTTAAAGCTCGAGCAACAATTACAGCCGAGAAAGGCCCTCGTAATTACGGGATGGTTTAAATGTATGTGGAGGTTTTGAGCTTGTGAGCGAGTGCCTGCAGTCACGGCCAAAAACGGTCTTTGAGTGAGGAATTCTCCACGCAAGCAGAACCAACACACACACCTTAACTGCACTAAGCGTAAAGCTCCTCCAAAACAAATTCATCATCGATTTGCTGGTGTGTAAAAGCAGGTGGGCAGGAGTTATCCAAAGATATCCCAAAAGCACGCTTCCTCATTAGCAATGCATAATGTTTCACCCTGTGCGTGTGTCTGTCACTCAATCGTTACTTAAGTGAACATGGCAAAGGGGGAAGAGGTCAACTGAAACCTCTGCCGAGGTCTTTTGTGGAAGATTTCCGCGCCAGAAACAGAGTTAAACTGCATGAAATCCTTTGGAGATTAGAGTTGGCCCTCGTCCTGCCTCTGACTATCTTGAAAGCAAGGTCACACATCGAGAGCCCTGAGCGAATCATCCGAGGACGCCGCTGATATCAAACAACTGAAGGAAGAACACACCAACAGTTATGCTAAAAAGGTTGCTACACTCCGAGGGAAACGGGAAACACCGTGAAAGGCAAAGAAAAAAAATAACTCAGGTTGTTTATTTATGAATGGGATCAAAAATGGCTGTGAAATTATGTTTTGCGCTCAAGGGATTGTAGAAAAAAAAAAAAAAGACAAAATAAATTCGTCCTCCTTTTGTAGAATTAGGAGATCTACTATTGGTACCTAAAAGTTACGTTCAAGAGCATCATTCTGAGAATTGGTACTTTTAACATACGTGGGATTAGGGGTGGGAGAACATTTTTTCGATTTCTCTCGATCCTCTCTAGAACGATTTGTTCTCGATTCAGAAAAGTTAATAATCAGAATTAAAAAAAAAAAAGTGTCTCGCGCGAGCTAAAGTCAGTCTCGCGCGAGATATTTCCTCGCTCGCGGAGCGTGATTTCCTCGCTCGCGAGGTTAGTCTCTGCTCGCGCTCGAAGGTGTTTTCTACGCGCACGCTGTTGTTCTTTCAGACAGTAAGGGGGCGGAGCCAGTCACCATGGTATCTACACCTGATTGGTTACAAACCGCATCTTTGGATTGGCTGGAGTGATGCATTCACACAACTATAGAAGCCTATTTCCGCACTTATGTAAGGGGATAGAAAGTCGAAATTATGAGATAAAACGTTGTCAAAAAACAAACGCGCCCCTTCGGTAATCGTAGTGGAACGTAGATGACAACCAGCTACAGCCATCATTTACCATCATTACCGGCCCATTAAGAGCAATGCGTCCAGCTCGCAGACCGGTCCGTCAGTCTGAATCTGAATATCTAATAACTTTACCGAACTATGGAGGAGCCTGCGCATATCTTACCTCATTATTTCGAGCAAGATATTCACAGATTGACTTTTTTCCGGTATTTTACAAATACGGACCGGTCTGAGACTAAGAGGAGCGTTTTCTTCATTTAAAAGAAAAATTAATCTGTTGAATTTTTTTTTTTTTACATAGGCTACTTCCATATTGTGTTGAAATGCAAGCTGCATTGGTTCTTGCATTGTTGATAGAAAATCATATTTGTGACAAAGATTTTTTTTTCTCTTTAGAGAAGGTAATTCATCTGTTGATTTTCTTCAATTATCAAATAAAGTAGGAAGTGATTAGCAACCTCTGAGTAGCAAACTCAGATTTGAGAAAATTTAGAAAATCGAGATGCATCGATAATCGTTTTATCAGTTTAGAATCGATAATCTGTTTAGGATCGAATCGTCGACCTCTGAATCGGAATCGAATCGAATAGTGAGGTGCCAAGAGATTCCCATCCCTTCGTGGGATACAGAATGACGGTTATTGTGGCTGTCTGCATGCGCTTGTGAACAGAAGACAATGGCGCTTACCTGTAACATTGTCCAGGCCCTGTACGTCCTGCTCGGCCAGAACGCTGGTTGGCATTAGCCTGGCTGATGGGATAAACCTGTAGAGCATCCATTCCAATGCGAGGGTTGAAAACCTATTGGCAGAAAGACACGGGTATGAATATAACGAGGATGTCCAATTGGTTTGAACTTGACTCTTCTAGAACGGCAGCTTGAAAACAAAATAAATAAATAAAAGAAGATCTCCACTTCTTCACATCTCCACCTTAAGTTTGCAGTATCCCGCGTCCACGACAAACATGATTCCATCCACAGTCAGGGAGGTCTCAGCGATGTTTGTGGCGACAATGCATTTCCTCACACCATCTGGGGCCTAGCAGAGGATGAACGAAAAGGCAATCAGCTTTGTTTTTCTCACTTGTGTTTAGAACCATCACTCACAGATGTAAAGCGTATCGATACGGACCTTCTGGAAGATCTTGGCCTGGAGATCCGAAGGCAGCTGGGAGTAGATGGGCAGCACGGCCAGAGCAGGAGCGTTATCCAAGTCCTCCAGCCGCTCCACGATCTGATCCGACGTCACCTGCAAGAACAAAGATCATAACCTCCTTAAATGAAAGGATTGGAGCCGACCCCGCTCACCCCGGACACAGAACTTTGAGACTTCTGGCAGGACCAAGACCCATTTACCCAAATACACAGAACATGTGCACAGTGGCTTCTCACCATGGAAACAGATCTACATACATACGCGTTAAAAAAAACACTTTGCTTTTACAATACATCTATACATAACGCAACTTCTTGCGTGATGAAAGCAGCAATGTTCTTCACCTCAATATCCTCCTGCCCAGGCATGAAGATGAGGATATCTCCGATCAACCCACTGAGGTGGATCTGCAGGGCCTGCTTCACTGCTGCCTCCACGTAGTCCTCCTGAGGAGTCTACACAGCACAAACCACAACAAATCAGTCCAATAACCACTAAAGAGACCTTACAGCAACTTAAAATAATGATGACTGGAATTTTGACACGAAAGTTATATTTCTATTTTATGCTAAAATGGAGTTACTGTAAATGAACAGGTTGTTATAAAATGTAACGATGTAATAAATATCGACTTTTCTTACCAAGCCATTTCATGCTTTGAGAACATATGTCTTAATGACATGGAATGCCATCAGGATGTGATGACAGTGATTTGATATATTTAGGACAAAGTGAAAGTGTCTCTGAATGACAATAAAACAGAATACGACACATACCTTGCTGAACAAGATGTCGACGGGAAATGTTCTTCCTGGGATGTGGAAAATCGGTACGTTGCCAAAAAATGCAGCAAACTTATCCGAGTCCATAGTTGCAGAGGTAACTATGAGTTTCAGATCAGTACGCCGAGCTACCACCTGACGGGAAGCAGAGGACAGTTGAGTGGAACGTTTCCATTGGAATGAGTAAAGGAAACAAAAACATCACAAGGTCATTCATCACGTAGACACACAGCAGATGCAGCTGTGTTTATCTTAAAAACAAGAGAAATCCATCGTTACGGTTGTTGGGCGGCTGTACTGACCTCACGCAGCAGGCCGAACAGCACGTCAGTATTCAGGGAGCGTTCATGAGCCTCATCCATGATAACGGCACTGTAGTGGTCCAGGTCAGACTCCCTCAACGACTCCCTGAGCAGGATACCGTCCGTCATGTACTTTATCAGGGTTTTCTCGGATGTGCAGTCCTCAAAACGGATCGCATAGCCCACCTGCAGGCACAAATTTAAGGTACAGAAAATGTTATACACGAGTGGAGAACCCTTTTTTGTTGCAGTTCAAGCGTCATGATATTTCCATTTTGACCACTAGATGGCATCATTACACGGCACTGACTTCCTATTGCGTTTGTGCTAAAGCGCATCTGGCCCCTCGATGACAAGGAATACAAGGACCAAGTAGCTCTTGTGTTTCTACAATTCCACATATTCCACATATTATTTTATATTGAAACAAGATTTAGGAAGGAAATTAGAGAGAAAGATGAATGTAAGCTATAATATTTATTGCTCAAGGGGCCAATGTTCTAGATTGACTGGATCCCCGGTCTATGATTTATACTTTCATATGTTACAGCAAATACAGCATAAGCAAACAAGTACTTCTCATTTCTCATTTGAAAAAAAAGATCTCTCGATGGAATAGATAAAAGTACTTATGAAACGTCTTCCATATTAGATGTTCACAAGGGTTCCACCATCAGAGAAAAAAAACTGCACACAATCTGCCAAAGGTACTTATTGTTTGCTTGAGCAGCCGTCTCACCTCCTCTCCGAGGTTAGTGCCGATCTCCTCGCTGACTCTCTTGGCCACGCTCATTGCAGCCACTCTCCGGGGTTGAGTACAACCCACCATGCCGTAGCTGGTGTAGCCGTCCTCATGCAGGTACTGAGTGAGCTGTGTGGTCTTCCCACTGCCCGTTTCCCCCACAACAATCACAATGCTGTTGTCTCTGCCGGTAAACACATTGAAACAGTCAGAATAACTCATCACAGATACTTTCAGGACAAAACTATATTTGAGAATGTATTCTAAAAATACCTTATAATGTTGAGAAGTTGCTGTCTGACAGCAAATATAGGCAGGTACTGTCTCTGTTCCAGGAGGGTTTTCTTCTTTGCAAAGTCACTACTGGCCTCACTCTTTTCTTTCATATGGTCTGCAAATTTCTGCTCTGCTCTGTACGGCAGAGAGATCAGCAAAATATTAATATGGCAGGTGAGGCATTACAGTTCAATTGGTTAGGCTGGTGAAATATCAAAAAGAAAATGTGAAATGTCATTTAGATTTTTGAAAGGACAGCACGGTCACCTGTAGTCTACTTTGCCGTCCTCTCCCACCGGTTTGCCCCCAGAAGAATCTTCCTCTTCAGTCTTTTTGATGCCCATGATGTCTCCTAACTTGGTGCCTGCCAATTCCCAGTGCTTGTGCTGTGCCTGAAGACAATTCATTATAGCAATTATATCATAGCGTATTTGTGCATGTTCTACCTGGAAGAGATAAAGGAGCATTGTGTTGCATTTGTCTACTTCTTGTTTCTCCTCACTGATGGAGGTTTGCTGATAAAATGTCATCAACTGACCAGGTAATGTGATTATGAATAAATTATTTAGTGAAGTGATGGAGTTAGACAGCGATGGCATTATCAACTGGACAGGTGCACAGCAGCAAACCCCATTGACATTTATTTACACAGGGTATGAAGATCATATCTGCTTTGTGCTTTTCTACATGGAGACGAATATAGCAATGGCATATTCCTTTAAAGTCCACACTGGTTTTAACAAAAAGACAATCAATTTCAGTGTAAGTCATCAGCAATAATATTGGTCTTAGCCATTAATCCAGCAAACCTTTTTGCGTTCTTTCTGCTCACGATGTTTACGGACAAGCTGGCTGCCTTTACGAGCAATGATGGCCATGTCAGAGGTGGCATCTTTCACAGGGATGACAGGCTCCGGCTGCAGCAGGAAAAGAAATACACACATACTAACTTTCAGATCAAATGCAAGCCTGAATAGTGTATTTCTACATTTATAAAGTTAGGCTTTTTTTTAAAGAACTATTTGTCAAGTTCACCCGCGAACTCAGTGACCAGAGGCGAGGTTCAACGTCTTTTAAATTGCCCCATACAGATTGTATGTAATTCAGTCTTGAATAAGCGACGTGCCAAATAGTTTCTGGACTGACGTCCTAGACGTGATAATCTACTTGACCCGAGCCAGTGCGGTCGATGTTGAGCACTGTAGAGGCCTTTGATTGTTAATTGGTTAGACCTTGTTACCTGCTTAGTAAAGACTATTCTTCCATCCAGAAAGGGAGGAACCAGGTTGTGAATCTGCAAATGAACTTTTGCAGCATTGTCCTCCTCAAAGTCTTCATCCACCTCCAACCTCTGCACCACACCACTGGTCAGCATCCGGTTGGTCTCCCACCGCTCATTATCCTGAGACAAGAAACATGGCCTGTTACCAACATGTATTGTCCACACATATAGAGTAGATGTCTCTGCTTGAGACACACTTCAGAGCTGATCTGCGTTTGTACCTCATTGATCTGCCGCTTATGGGCAGATATTCTTTTTTGCGTCTGCTTCTGGAGGATCTGCTCCCTCTTCTTCACATATTCTTCAGAGGTGGTCGTGAAAGGGTTGTGGAACTCATCATAGCCTTCATCCATCATGTACCAATCTCTGTCAGCTTGCTGCAAAGCCGTGAGACATTCAAAAGGTGTCAAAAAGCAGACTCAGAAAACAGTTGCCGCTTCCATGAGGAATAGAATAAAAAGAAATGTGCCACTCACCTTCTGGTCCTCCTCCCACTGGTCTTTCTCATCCTCGTTATCAAACGCAAGTCCTCCCCCGCCATCTTCTTTTCTACCTGAAACATAAAGAAATGTTAAAGGACATACATTTAAATGCAGCATGCGAGCACTAAAAGGCCCGATTGTAGAATAGTACCTTTTCCTTGTGATAAACGCGGTGTAGAACCCAAATGCTTTCTGTCATTGGCCCACTCGTTGTACTTGTATGATGGGGTCGGCAGTGGTGTGTCGTCAGGGTAACGGCCTCGGACGGACCTAAGCACACAGCAGACAGATGCCTTGTAACATCAAAGTGGCATTGGCTTCTCAGCAGCATCAAATAAGAAGTGTGGAAGTAACTGAGGTTTTATAAAAAGTCTGTTACAGGTCTATGGGACAGTACATAGAAGTGTCATGGTAAGGTAAATTAAAAAAAATAATGTGCTGATATCACATGTGAATATTACAAATATAACAAATTGTAGTACTTAAATTGTACTTATAATGGCACTTATCTATAGCAAAAAGTAACTAGGCTTATTTTATGAAATCACACTTTCTTGTTTCTTGCTCTGACTTTGTATCCCTATGGTTGAATGAACTTATTGGAAGTCGCTTTGGATAAAAGCCTCAGCTAAATGTAATGTTTTAAAATGCAAATAACCTGAAGCTCACATAAAGTTTCTGTTAGAATTTTACCCCAAACCAAGTTCAAACATTTGGTCTTAGATTTTATGAGGACAACCTTATCTCAGCATGTGTTCTTCTTCCTTAATCTTAGTTTTTATTTAGAAACCTTTTGGCAAAAATCCATCAGAATGCACAAAGCAAAATAACGTTTCTATCTACTTAAAGCCTGTTTTTCCATGTAAGGCTTTGAGTCAAGAGAAAAAAAGATGTAAGTATGTAATATAAGCTAGTTTACAGTTGCTTACCGGTCTCTCCTCTCGCTCTCTCGGCCGGAGCGATGGCTTCGTTCTGAGCGATCTAGCTCTTTGTGGGACAGGGCAGGGGACGGAGATTCCCACTGGGAATGCCGTGAACTGGAATAACCGCTGTCGTCCTCCTCCCAGTTGGAGCGCGAGGGCGTGAAAGAATCTACATAGTAAACAAAATAAGTTTAGACAAGCAATTGAGCAGAGTGACAAAAAAATTACATAGGAGGTTTAAAACAAGATACCTCGGGGGCGTTGCTGTGGCGTCGAGGGTTCTTCTCTCTTAGTCCCCCTGCTGATGCGATCGGAGAAGCCGTCCCTCGGTGAGCGCTCACCGCGCTCCGACCGGCTGCTGCTGCTGCTGCTGCTGCCACGACTGCCATCTCGCTCATCTGACAAGACAGGAACAGAAAGGGTTGATCTCGACAACTCTGACTGGTATAACGTTTGCTTTCATTATGGAATGATCAATCGATTTAGTTTTTTTTACTCTCCAATTACTTTTCTAGCGTTAGTCACCAAACTAAATGTGTTGAATTTACCATAACGTAATACAGAAGCATGCTCCATGTAACATGAGTGGTCTTTAGGATCACCTCTTTCGCTCCTTCGGTCTCTGCCCTTGTCTCTGCTCTTCTCCCTGTCTTTTTCTCTGGTGTTGTCCTCTTTGGAGGAGGTGTAGAGTCCGTGCTCACGGCGGTCTTTCTCTCTCTGCTGGTGTCGGTGTCGGAACTCTTCGCTGACCCCTCCAGGACTCGAGGGTGTCTCGGAGCCAGTCACACGGTACTTCCTGCTTGAATAATTTTAGTAAAACGCTTCATATTAGTTATTATATAGTTAGCAAAATAACCAACAATTAGGATGTAAAACAAAAATACATTTAAGGGATGCATGAACATCAAAAGAAATTTGTCAACGTACCACGTTCAGTGACTTTTTGCAATGATCAACAGTGACAGTCCCAGTTTAATCCTTGCACTTGTTTTAGTGAGCTAATATTTTTACTTGAACGGATTCCATAAAATCATCCCAACAAATTTGACTAAAAACTTGGCAGACAGTGCGGTCCAGGATTATAAAGATCCAAGGATTTCAATATCGGATGCATTACAAATAACGATAATCTGAACAGACATGAAGGATAGAATGAATACTTCATTGAATATCATGATTGTGTAAAGCAACACTTACCTCTCCTTCTTAGCATCCGTAGCCGTATCATCGTCTTCTTCTTCATCAGACCCAGAGTCACTTTTACCTTCCTCCCAGTCCTTGTAGGAGGAAACCTTTGACTTCTTTCTACTGCTGTCATCGGCCTCCGCCTGCTCCTTACTCTCCCGCTCCTTCCTCTTCTGGGCTGCGAGCAGATCCAAACCCAGCAGCGAGGTGCGAGGCGTAGGCGCTCGAAAAACGTGGGGCTCCTCAGCAGCACTCTTCTTCTTTACTATCAGTCCACCAATTTGATCCGCTGGATCTGTCCCTTCTAGCCTATGCATGGACACATCGTCATCCATTATCTGTGGCGAAATAATGATGTGTACAAAAGGTGTTAATGTATCAGGCTACTAAACGGTTGACAGATGACAGCATCGGTCAGACAAAATTCTTTGATTTTAACTGATGGTTTGACTTTTTGTGCATAATAATAAAATAATAATGGCCATAATAAAATTAACCAAAGATCCTAGAGCCCAAGTGATGTCTTTATATTGTTATATTGTGGGACAAACACTCCATCACGATCACTTTCCCCCGTTTGTTACCTCGCAGTACTCAAAGTTACCAACGAGGCCAGAACGATCCCAGCCAGCTAACTTTAGCTCTACTAACTGTGACGATGCTTCACAATCTAACGTCAACGTTACGACATGACATGAAGTCACTAAGTCAACACCGATCCGCTTCAGCAAGAAGAAAAGTGCTGTAAGTCTAAAATGCGCCGAACCGGCACCTGTATGACATTAGTGTATTTGCAAATAATGGGATTATACGTTCCCTCGATTGATTAACGGACTAAATCAAGTGAAACTAGTGCTTACCTGACAAAGAGCTGCTAGCATCAGCGAGCCTGCGAGCTATCAGGTCCCGTCCCGACAAGGCCGGGCGGCAAACTGCGGGAATATGCCGCGTGTTTCTATGTGTCTAAAAGGCAGAAACTCTCACCCCAAGTTAAAGATTTCAGTTCAGCCGAAGGACCGGTAATTTCTCCAGACAAAGGAGTATCTACAGCAGTCACTGGAAACGAGCTAAACTGCGACTTTTGTCAACACAACGCATATGTTTACAGACAAGAGAGCAGCCATTGCGATCCCACAGTTCTTCTTCTCCTCTTTTTCAAAGCTCGTAACGGCAGTTGACAAACCGATGTGCACGCGCGTTAGCGCCGCCCCGTGGCTGGAAGTTTCATTGTCAACTCCTCGACATGGACCACACATATGAAGGGTTTGAAAAAATGTTTCTCTCCAGGCCAACATAAAAAGCGAATACAGATAAAGAAAAATTTTAAAAAAAATTAGACAACACATATTAAAAAAACTTCCTGACAGCCTGGTGGCAGGCCTGTTCGAAAGTCTGCTGGTCAGCAAGAGCAGTGAGCAAGAGCACACAGCTTTTGAGGAGCCGCTGTGCTCAGACTGATGCTACTCTAGGTGTTGTTGCCGACACGTCCCCCTGTTCGTGTGGCAGGAGGTCTTAGTCCTGATGGACCTCGGCCTCCTGCCAGATGGAAGGGGCACAAACAGGTTTTGTCCGGGGTGAGCGGGGTCGGCTACGATCTTTTGGGCTCGCTTCAGGGTCCTGTAACCGAACAAGTCCTGGAGGGACAGAGGATGGACTCGATGACGGCCGTGTCAAGTGCACCATCATCGTCTTTGGCAGTTTGAATTTCTTCAGCTGCCTCAACCTCTGCTGAGCATTAAAGGTGCATGCAGATGTATGCTTGTGTTTATATATAGTTGAAGGTGGTTGCTGGCCTGTAGCGTCTTTGGCCTGTAGCGTCTTTATAGGTTGAAGGTGATGAAATCCAGCCTTCACAGAAGTATGTGATGAACCATTGGCCAAGTATGCTTGTGTTTATCATTTAAATACATATGCTTCACATGCTTCCAATGAACACCACAGGTGGCACATCAGTACAGTTCCTGTTATTCAAAATGACAAAAGTATATATGTTTTGCCCCGGACTGTAGACCTACAACCAACCACATCTTCTGTTTTACTATTCATTATTCAGTTAGAGTTACAAAAAGACTACAAATAGTCTAATGCTTAAGAAAAAAATATATATTAAATCCCATACCACAGTTATACTGTTTTTTGTGTGTTGTATAAATTGTGCTCTATTATTGTTCAAATTCGTTTGTTGGTCTAAAGTTTAAAAACTTGTATTGTTGCAATTATAATACATCATATGTTATTCATTATATCCCAAATTTTGATAAAAACAAAGGCTGACCTACCGTAATATATATGTCATAAAAAAGACTCGCATGCGCAATAGTGGCGCACAGCTGACAGCCTTTGCTCTTTTCCAAGTCTCGTGATCATCGACTGGTGCATTTTCATTGGTTGGCACTCCGGAAGACGCGACGTCATTGATAGTCCACGTTAAAGCAACAGTCGGGTTATTGGTCGGTTTCACATGGAGGCTGATATGCCGGTTTAGGGTGTTTTCCTAGTCCGTTATTTTACATTTTAGTTTTAATACTGTTGTTTATGTCATTTCGTCTCTACGGTCTCTATAGGAGCTTTATTTGAGCAAAACTAACCTCATTCAAAGAGATCAAACTGATCGTAACGCAAGCTAACGTTAGCTAACAATACGTGCACAACGTTACCTGCAAACCGAAGCTAACGTTAGCGTGCTGCTCCGTCGGTATCTAGTGTCACAGAAGCGTTACTTACACCAACGCTAGAATGGGTGAGGAAACCATCGACAAACCCATTCACACAGGTAGTGAATCTGTTAATAACACCAATGTAGAGGGAAACGGTGAAGCAGCAGAAGATGTAAAATATTACACATTAGAAGAAATAAGCGCGCATAGTGTGAGCAGTGACAGTTGGCTCATCATCCACGACAAAGTGTACGACATCACAAGTTTCCTCGAAGAGGTAAGAAATAAGAAAAGCAGCACATCGCGGTTATGTTTTCACTTTTTCTGTCTTATGTGTGTGCTTTCTCAAAGTCTTCGGTTAGCCTGACGTCGCTTCCTGGAATTGCCGAATGTTACGTCATCTAACTAGCGTTAATGAGTTGTGACGTTTGCCGATTGGCGAAAACCGACAAGGATCCAAAACCAGGCAGAGTGTAAAGTCCACGTTTTGATTTGAGTCGGGTTACAAAAGGTCACATCAAGTGAAATCTGCCCTGCGTGTCTCATTCTGAAACTATCGGGAAAACTTCTAGCAACAGTTATTGTAAGTTACATAAACGACTTAAGTTAGATAACAACTGACGTCGAACCGTTTCATAATCGTTACATAACGTTATGTATCGATATACCTGCAGACTATTTTATTGTTACGGAGTAGATTAACGTCTTTCTTTAATTATCCACTCAATAATTATGACTTGAACTTAACGTTACCTTGTATCAAAATTTAAATTGAAGGTACTGGACATGCAAAATGTCCTTTTTTATTTTTTTTTACAGTTTTACCGCTTTAGGTTGTTGTCATTGGACGTAAACGTAAAAGTTTTGTATTCGTCATAGTAGCAACACTTTAATACGGGAGCTGCTTGCAGTTAATTGGGACTATTAAACTAGAAATATTATGAAAAAAGTAATTTTTAGTTTGTATGTATATCACAAACTGTACTGGCTTAAGTTAGCCGTCAATTGTAGTGGCATATAATATAAATATTTCACGTAGTTATCAAATTACTCCTGTACAGGACTCTAACAAACTTTCCATAACTCGTTAATCATATTGGTGCATTGCATAACGGTTTCTGTATCAATTTATTTAGGAAATTGTAGCATTGAAATGAACCTGTTTTCATATGCCGAGTGTGTTGAAAATAAGTCATTTGATCAGCTCAACACTCTCTAGTCAACCTGCTTTATGATTTAAGCATCCGGGAGGTGAGGAGGTTCTGCTGGAGCAAGCCGGGGCCGACGCCACGGAGAGCTTCGAGGATGTGGGTCATTCCACAGATGCCAGGGAGATGCTCCTGCAGTACTACGTTGGGGAGCTTCACATGGTAAGATCATATCTCTGCTGGCCTGTAGCGTCTTTGTATGGTGTCCATATCCCTCCGTCAATTCTGAAGTTAACTCCTCACTGTCATCAAATCGCTTTGAGGGGGGGAAAAAACGGCAATTTGTTTCAGAAAAGTGCCATGAAAACAATTTGGGGTTCGCATGCGAATTGAAAGAGTTGACATTCAATCAAAAGGACCACATTTTATCTTCTATTAGATAATGTTCAGTATCCAATTTTAGTATTCTTTCTTCCTTAACTTGATGTGGGTTTTTTTTTACAGAGGCCTGCTGATTTCTTCCCTTATCTCTTACCTTGAAAGTTTGCATTGTCATTATTTCCCAAATAAAAAGATAAAAAAAATATTCTAGTTTGTTAGTAATACTGAAGGTAATTATTGTGGCAGCACAGTTCGTTTGTTTTTGGCATTGCCTCAGATTGTGTTTTTAGTTAAGTTACATTGACTTGGACTATGGACTGATAAACAAAGTTTATTTTAAGCCTTGCCTTAGAGGGTAATACAAATGTATTCATTTTCTTTGCAGGATGACAGAAAAAAGGAGGCGGCAAAGGTAAGCTGCAAGTCACTGAAACAGAATGGGGGGGAAAAACTTCTTGAATTATACTGTTCCTCTAACTTGTGTCCAATATTTCTGCAACAGGATGACTCATTCTCAAACTCAGGAGAGTCCAGGTGAGTCCAAATTCATTGTCTTCTAATTATTCTGCTGCCGTGAATCACTGTTAATATGGACATTTTAAAATTTGTTTTTTTGTGCAAAAGGGTAAATGTCATTATTGATTTAAATTATTAATTTCTATCCTTATGTTTTTTTGATGCATTTTTCCCCAATTGTTCCTTTTAATCTTTCTGGCTATAAAGATGTAAATTTCTTTCTTGCAGCTCCTGGACCACATGGTTGATATCTGCTATTGCAGCAGTTGTCGTTGGTGTTGTTTATCGCTACTACCTGTTGGAACACAAGTCTTCTTGAGCTGACATCCTTTTTTCATCACATTCTTTTCATCTGGAGGCCTTAATGTCTGACCAAAAACCTCCGCACACTGAACGCGAGTGTCTGCATCCTAGATAAAGGAGCTGAGCAGTTTGATAAAGTGCTTTTGTTCTTTTCCATCTTCATAGAGTGCACCAAACAAAGGCAAGGACTTTATTAAATTGCCAGCCTTCAGTTTCTTTTTATTTCTCGGTCCCTGCCTGTTAACAATGCTGTCCATAACAATTTTCAATCTTCAATTTTTGTCAATAACTTTGACAACCATTGGCCTGCTCTGAAAAAGGTTATTTTACCTGCCTGGTTTACATGCACCATCATATCACTCATAGCCAAACGGAAACATTTAATGTTGGTATTCATATGCAGAATGAAAAGATCAGGGTGATAGACTAGTCATTGAGTTGACTACCATTCTACTTTTTAGACTCAATGATTTCTGATGCATTTATGTTTTAATAAAGTAAACATTTTAATTAAGTAAAAATGTTAATGATGCCATATGATATCAATCAGGAGTTTATTAGTTAACACATTTCTGGTTTAAAATTGCTTGATTGCATTTATCAGCTATAGTTTATACATTATCTTTCAAATTACAGAATTGCCGTGTCAGATCTGTTCTTTTGTTTGTTAAGTGATTATTTAGGGTAGAAAGCGTTCTGACGTGTCCCGTTTTTCTATAGTTTGGTTATCTGGAATTTGTGTTCTAACTGCCTAAACCATATAGATATACATTAATGTAGTATGTAATCCAGTACTATTAGTGATTTTGTGGGGGGGGGGCTGTTATAATGGTATGGGAAACACTGCAATGGTGCGTGAACACCCGTGGAAGATTAACTATAATTAGTTGTTTTTAACCAATCCTTTTTAAAAACTTTGTTTCATTGTTCTGCATCTTCACTTAGAGTGAGTGGTCCTGCAGCTATCAGAGGGTTCAAATTGATTTCAAACCCTCTTATCAAGTCTGGTGTGTTTCAGGCCACAGAGCAGATCTATTTAAGTTACTCAACATCCTTAATTCTCTAGGTTGCTGTTCAGTTGTTGGTAATGGTAAAAAAAAAAAGGTTTGCAAAGCACTTTTTCCCATGACTATTGAAACAACAAGTCCACTTACCACCTATTTATGAATATAACTTGCTATTTTTGCATGGGACTATAAAATAACTTAGATGTCATGATCTAGTTTATTGGCATTGATGATAAAGAGTTCCCATCTCTTTACATTTCAATGGTAAATTTCTGTCAAAAGTCTGATTAAAATGAATATTTTAAAATATGTGTAAATGGTGTGCTACTTGTCCCTCTTTGCTCGTAATTGTCAGACCTCCTTAAAAAAGGACGGGATGCCATTCTGACCTATATTGCTATGATGGGTATGCTAGCCAGAGAAGACAGACATCCGATACCTTCTGCTCGTGACTCATGCGTTTATTGCTGGTGGTCATCTTCTATACTGCAGCAGGGTATTCAAGTCTCAGAAAAGTCTGATCTAGTTTATTGAATCACCGACATGACCAGTTGATGCTGGGAGCAAGGAATAATCCCCGACACAAATACGGAGCATGGGCAACAGCTGAACCTTATTATATATAGATTGTTCTATTATGGTTGTAGGCAAGAATTCTATCGTAGCGATGAGAAAGCCAGGTTGTTTATCATGTGTACCATGGTGGCAAGTGTGAAAGTGCTGTGACTGAAGGATCCACAGTGCATCCGCAAAGTATTCCCAGCGCTTCCCTTTTTCCACATTTTGTTATGTTAAAGCCTTTATTCCAAAATGGTGATTACAATTTCTTATATATTTTTTTAAATAAATGTAACGTGTACACAAGTAGTCACAGACTTTGCTGAATACTTTTGCAGCAATTACAGCCTCAAGTCCTCTTCAGTATGAAGCTACAAGCTTGGCATAACCTATTTCCGGGCCGTTTCTTCCGTTCTTCTTTGCAGAGCCTCTCACGTTCCATCAGGTTGGACGGGGAGCGTCGGTGCAAACCCATTTTCAGATCTCTCCAGAGATGTTCAATCGGTTCAAGTCAGAGCTCTGGTTCGGCCACTCAAGGACATTCACAACGGTCCTAAAGCCACTCCTTTGTTGTCCTGTTGAAAGATGAACCGCCGCCCTAGTCTGAGGTCCAAAGCGCTCTGGAGCAGGTGTTCATCGCGGATGTCTCTGTACATGGCTGCATTCATCTGTGTGTAGATGCATTGGCCAGTTGATGCGCAGTGCCTGGTTTTCTCCAGACATGATGCTTGGCATTCAGACTTTATGTAACCTAGCTGATAGTGTGGTTATATATATATTAATTTGTTTATCCATTTCAAGTGTATAACACTCGAGTATGCATATGCCTGCTCCCCTCGTCTATTTTGTATGGTGAAGAGTATGAAGCAGTGATTGAAATTAAATCCTTCCCAATCAGCCAGTATATATCAGGAACTGGATGCCCTCTCATTCCATGAATTAATTTTTTAAACTTCAGTATATCTGAAAAGGATACAGCATTAAATGTACTTGTCTTGAACATGCGTTGACTCCACAGGTTTTGCAATAAAAAAACATTTGTTCCAAGTACCACAAAACCAGTCAAATAACTACAAATTAATTGATGTGGACTTTTCGTACAGTACTTAATATTAACACAGGGTGGCACTACAACCTCATGCTATTATCTGTCATGTACCAGAAAAATATATATTATAATGACTAAAGACTTGTGCTCACAATCCAATATATTCATCGCAGAATACAGCCATTTTTATCTCCAGGTTTTCATAAATATGGAACAGCAATAAACCCTATAAACAATACTGACCTAACTAAAATTTGTGTGTGCCCCCATGTCCCACATGGGGGCACACACAGATTTTATGCAATGTAAAAACAAAACTGAAACATCACTCTGACGTTGTAATGCAAAGACTACGCAATCAGATTATTTGAAATAATATCTTATCAATATGACAAAAGGTATCATGAATGTTTTTGTAATACTCGATGGCTTGGTCTAGAAATCAAAAGGAAGGAATGTTTCAGAAACTTGTTTGAACTAATTAAAAGTTCTTTGTCCTAAATACATTTACAGCAACCGTAATGCGGTTAGAGTAGTTATAACCAGACCACAATTATGAACTCTTGAGACAGAATATTGTATTTTTTTGGAGCATATGAAGTCTTCAGATAGACCCCATTCCCCATGACTGGATCGGCAGTCGTTTGTATCAGCAGCCATCCTCAAGGAGACCTGGGGCTGCTAATGCACCACACTCCAGGGTCCCTGGAGACCCGCTCGGCAAATATCTCAAGCGGCTGGGAAAAACATTTGGCTGGATGCTGCGGGAACACACATTCTGCAGCATTAGTAGATTGACTCGGTCAATCCCCTATACTTGTATTACTCTGTTTCATTTGTTTTAATTGAGATGGTGTTGAATTAGTTTTGTCTTCATGCAGAAATGTCAAAGTAGCAAAGACACAGCAGCACACAGAAACAACCAATGTGCGGGGTCAGATTTGCGGTCTGCAGAGGAAATCCTCAGAGGGCTTTGCAGCTTTGACAACTGCTTAAAAGGCTCACTAAAAGGCTCTCCTTTCACAATAAAAACATCCAACTTTTCTTTCTGAGGGATTTAGACCTGTGAAAAATCAATTTACCCTAGAAAAAAAAAAAACATTTCTAACAAGTCACGTTTCTGAACCTGGGGCTCTGCCTCACACCAGATTCATGAGTTAATGGAAAAACTATCTTAAAGATAGTTTTAAATCCAAATAACGTAAAGTAAAAAGTCTAAAAATGTGACCCAAGCAAAACAAACTTAATTATCACTTATTGAGGATCTTAAACGTCATTTATTTTTGTTGATACATGATGCATTTGTAAATACTGAACTTAAACTAAGACACACTTCAAAAGGCGTAATGCTTTATTTCAATGGTCATCTACAAACCATTACATTATCAATTATTTTTTTCCATTTATAAAATTAGGAATTTAGAAACATTACAAAAGTATACATACAAAAGTCATTATTCACTTAGGCAATATTTTTGCATGATTTAGATACAATTCTTCTGATGCTCAACACATAGTATATGCACAAACATGAACGACGGGGACACCCTTAGGCTAAAATAAGTTGCATAAAATGTACCTGAAAATGTAGGTACATTATGTACCGGTTCCTATTAATGTTTTAGGAAATACTCCTGATTAACTAATTTCAAATCAATCTTTATGACCGTTAACTCCTTTCAGTGAAAAACATGTCATTGGCACTGCAAAGTTGATTCCATACTGTAGTTGACGCTGAGAGGATGCTCCTGGACTTAAGATCTCAAAATAAACAATCGCAGCCTCAGCAGTTACCCAAGTTTTCTCTTTCCGGCACATATGTGGTGACCTTTCTTCAGTGTAGCTGCATAATTAGTTTTCTCCTTTTATACACACTGAAATGCCGGGACTTGAAGGTTAACTTCCTTCAGCTGTTACAAGTCATAGATCTTTGACTCACGGTTTAAACAGAAGGAGATTTTGATGGCTTTCATCCTTCAAAGCACTTGTAATCAAATAATGTTCACAGATTTTGATTAGGAGTCCAAATTTCAGTTTCCTGTGATGATTCAATTTACCAAACTCAAAAAAGGTCTGAGGTGAATATGTTGACCTAAGCAACAAGTCTAAATACACAACAGCTGACGAAGACAAGATTGGTTGTATAGCCACTTGCAAAAATAACATTAGGCATTTCTGTGGCACAGAGATAACGGCGGATAACCAACTATAAAACAACTAAAAGGTGGTTTAAGATGCTGTGTCTGACAGTGAATCCCATCTTAGAAATATGGTGTGCTTGGGTAAAACAAAAAAATCCAAATAAGTTATAAATTGAGCCTATGTGTTCTATTCAACTGAACAATACATTTAGTAAAAAAAAAAGGAAAGGAGAGAAAAATACACAATACTGTTGTATAAAGTGCTTGCCATGATAGCATGCCTTAGTGCCAACCTGTATGCATCGTAACCCGCATCTTACCCGGAGTACCTTACTTATATGGCAATAATGTGACCTCCGTTGACCTGCCCAGCAGTACAAAACACCGCAGAGGTCACTAACAATGTTTCTTGCCGTGCCAGTGGTGCTCTTCTGGTGCAGACATCCTAAGCCAAACTCAACAGGGTGCAGGTGGAGGAGACACTGGAAGAACGGTCATGGACACTGTTGTTATTATCCAGAATTCCTGACACAAACTGTGTCTTTAGAGGGCTGCAGGAGTCGAGCGTGTCGGCCAGTTTAGGGCAGATGGCCAGAGCCAGCCTGTGGAGGACCAGGTGGAATTTTCTGCGGAAACTTCGGTTTACCCAGAAGTAGAAGATGCAGTTGAGGAAACCATTGGATGTTGGCAGCCATACCACTACGAACTCGATCCACTCGGGTGCGCGGCTACCGGAGACTGCTGTGGGACAGAAAACATGGCGATTCAAACAAAACAAGTATTCAGAGAAACTGTTAATATAAGACTGCAGCTTCTGACTGGGAACAGTCGCTGACTCGGTGTTGACATTTTATGAAAAGAATGTCAAATGAAATTTCTTGATACGTTTATTTTTCGACAGCAACAATATGAAGCCATCAACGTTTGTAGTCTAGATATAAAAGTACAAAATCAATTGGTATCTCTGGTGGAGTAGAGGCAACCACTTTACATTGAGGCACTTTGAAGTTTAAAGTTAGACTGTCAGCTTCATTTTGCAGAGATTTTCTTCCATATCAGATGAATTACAGCCCTTCGTGGAAAAGTCTTCACTTCTAAAAATATTCTGTCACTCCACTTTCAGTCTCAATTACTCAAAGACAGAATGGTGTTGGAGTGAATGAGAAAGTCCAAAAGTCATAAAACTGTCAGTAAATCCATGTAGTTGGCAAAATAACTTTGATTGCTATTTCTATCAACGCAGTCGCGGCTGAAATCGATGGAGACGTGTGCTGAGGGGAAATAGTTATTACATGTTTGCTTAATTGGGTAGATCTTCCTATAAATTGGATTGAAAGAGCAGTTTCATGCATTTTCAAGACCTTCAAGGTCATCTAGTCTAGACGTACACTAAATGGTTACAACTATTCTAGAACATACGACGTCCTCAGATGATTCTTGACACCTTTGTTTTCATTTTCACTAAACGTGCAGACAAGAGGCAATCGAGATGTTCTCATATGAACTAAGCAGGTACATTCATCTTTTACCATGATGGAAGTTGTCTGTAGGACAGCCTCAGACTTCAATCTTTCCATTACACTATATTCTAATTTCCAGCTACTGTATGTGAACAGTAACTAAATACGAGGCTCATCTTTTGCACGGCAGGCCCTTCTTCTCCTACCAAGTTTCCACATCCTTCACATCTTGCAAATATGCACTTACCATTGTAGATCATGGCTGCCATGCAGGGCGTCCAACAGGCGTAGTAGGCTGCCATCACGGGCACGAGCACCCTGGACGCCACGTTGTGCCTCTTGCGACGCGCACAGTCGTATTTGCGCAGCTTGAGCCGCTGTCTCTTCGCCGCGCACCACACTCTCAGGTTGGCGTACGTCATGACGATGGAGCAGGGGAAGAATATAAAGCACGTCAGGCTGAGGGAGTACCCAACGTTGGTGGAGTAGGACGGGTTGCAGACCAGGGACGCGGTGGAAAAATGAACCTCAATGATGCCCCCTGGGAACGATATGGGCGACAGGAGGCACGGGGGGAAGCACCAGGCGAAGGCGATCAGGAGCAGCGTCCTTTTCCTCGTCAACAGAGAGGAGTATTGCAGCGGGTAAAACACCGCGATGTATCGCTCCAGGCTTATCGTGGCCAGGGTGTACATGCAGGTGGAGTAGACGGTGGCGTTGCAGAAGGCCACGACATGACAGAGGGCGTCTGGCCCTTCGGTGTAGTCCTTTAGCAGACTCACCCACAGATTCAAGGGCATGACCAGCAGTCCAAACGCGGAGTCTGCAGCAGTGAGAGAGAGGAGAAAGTACCGAGAGTTTCTCGACCAACCGGCCACGGAGGAGGTAATGACCAGGAGAACCGCGATATTTCCCAAAGTGATCATCACGCCCAAAACGATAATAACGCTTACTTTGACGGAGCGGTGAGTCAGCTCCTGCAGCCGCTGCGGGTCAACACCTGGCAGGGTGGAGTCGGCTGGAGTGGAGACGTTGTCAAGGGCCGCGTACATGTTTCCTCCTCACAGGGGCATGGCGGCCACCTTACACGGGGAGGATCAGCTGGAAGGCGGTTTACAGTGCAAGAAAGAGGCCGAGCAAGGCTTTTTTTGGGGTGGGGGTGACGTTCAGGAGCAGCGGCGCAGCTGCTCGGAGGCTTTTACCTCGCGCGTCAGAGGCACACCTGGTGCAATCAGGCTGGTAGCAGGGCGCGCGCACCTTCCCATGGTTCCTTTCACCGTTACAGGGAACTGTCAAAAAATGTGAGATATGTCTGTAAACGTCAGTATACCTTCTCTCAGGGAGGGGCAAGAAGGAGCAGGTTGATCGTTTGGTGACTAGGTTTGGATTATTTCAAGTACATCTTACTGCAAATGCACTTGCCATAAATCCATAATTATGTCGGATTGGTCCCTGCAATCATTCTTTTTCCTTATTTTTCCTCGTGTGACTCTTTGGGAGAGAAAGTTCACAGTTTTGTGTAAAAGTTCAAGTTAATTTGATGAGATTTCCGAAGTGATCGATCAAATCAAGCAGCCAATAAGTCCAACAACAGCTCATATCATGTGCCCAAATTTTTTTAGATCTGAAGCCTATCCTTGAATGTATTGCTTGGGGACGACATCACTTATTCTGTGTCGGCAGCAACATGCTGCTGATGTATGTGATGGTTATCAGGATTATCGATGGAATGAAGCGAATCCGCCTGGGTGCCGGGCTATCCTCACTGATTATGTAGAAGCTGACCTGAAAGCTCTGTCTGCGTCTCTGTTAGATATAATTAGCAAGACAGTTTAAGCCCTGTAGGCATTTGGCGCATCCAGTAGGACTGTCTGATTAATTAAATAAAGGTGTGATGTGAGTGCAGCGTGTGGCCTTTACAGGAGTGACATTTCTATGGCTCTCATCCATTTAGAAACATACAACTTACCTTGTAAAGCACAATAAATGTAGTGTTTTTACAAACAGTTTTGATATTTTGTACATGTTTACGTTTGTTGCAAGTCGTCCAGCGGAAGTCATCCCTCCCATTGAGCTTCAAGTTTGCAGGGTGGCCCCACTTGGCAGGTTTCATCACCCACAATAACAATGAGTCAGTCAAAAATTCATCACCGTTAAGGTGCCACAGAAGATGTACGTTCTGTCGCAGCCGAGGTAGCCTGACACCTTACAACCAATCCAAAGTCCAATTTTCACGATCACATGCCATCAGTGTCAGGATTTTTCAACGCCTCCTGGTCCATAGGCAACTTTAAGTGTTTTTGTCTGCGCTGCTGAGTGGTAGCTGCCAGCTTCTGTCTTAAAAAAAAAAATACATGATGCAAGGGCAAAGAAAAGGGCAGGAAAGATTGTCACTGACATTTCCCGCTCAGTTAACCAATTGTTTCAGAGGTATTCTTCCGTCTGACCATCAGTCCATGAAACAGCAGATTCTTACCAGCCACAGAGACCCACTTTACTGCTTCCTTGGGAACACTAATACCTCTCTGATGTTTTTATGCCCAAATGCATAATGCCAGACAATCAAACAGGTTTAGTAGGAACTTTGGAACGATACATATTGTATAAATCACCAAAGTGAATGGTAACCTACTTTTTTGCGGCTAATACCAGCCCCATTTATGTATATCCCTAAAATTGTGAAAGAATTATATGAACAACGAGATTACACGATAAATTCACAACCGTTAAGATGGTTTGTCAGCCAATCGAAAGCCAACGTTTGTTTTTAACGCGTAATCTAACGCAAATTTCAGAAAAAAAGAAGTGCACTCAGAGTAATTTCATTAACCCCTCAGTTCATTCATAAATCAAGCTCACCTGTAGAGTATTTTGTGTGGCTTAAATCATGTGACAAGAGGGGATGTTTATGTCTGTCCGTTTTGGTTCTACATGTGTGGGTGTGCACACAGCGCTTGCCCAAAGGTTTATGTGTAAATGCAGTTGACATAAGTGAGATAGAGAGATGATGAATTTGTACATGCTTGCAATTGAATATCCTGTGAGTGGGTTGACTCCTCCATTGGACAGCAACAGTAAAGTACATCCTGATGTGGAGGAAGGTAGCCATTGATTTTAACTGTCTGCACATGTGTGCTTGCGTGAGTGTTTGTGTGGGAAGTTATCGAGTTCCACCAGTGAGAGGTTGTTGCATGATGTTTAAGAGGGAAAGGTGGGGGAGGTTTGATGGGCAATTGTGTGGAAACTTGATGTCTGTCTTGAAAATCTGTCCAAATGATAACGGGTTGCTGTCAGCGCAGACAAAACTAACCTGGTAGGTTTGAAGTTATTAAAAATCAAAATGTGTGGATTCCAATAAGAAACAGCACTGCATAAATTGTGCAGAAGCTGAATGGTGAGGGTGCCATACGTGGTACGCTTATACATGATTATGCACCACACTTCAGATTTATGCAGAAGAAATATAGGTGAATCTAATTCTCATTTAACTCGACTGCCAATATTCATATTGCTCTGTTGCTGTATAATCCTCCTGGTCTCGGGCTAGATGCTTAAATTTAAAAGAAAGTTACCCCAACACAATCTATAATGTGTATAATGAGGACAAAATGTATGAGGCTCCCTTTGAAGGAGGAATACCAGAGGTGAGAGGGAAGCAGAGATAACTTGTATTTTAAGTTCCTTTAATTCGCTATATTATAAAAGCTGTGTGTGGACTGAAATGTACCAATCTGGTGTTGTAAACAGCTGCTGGATAATTTACAGCACGCATTGATGCTGTTACACAATTTGTGAATGTCATAGTGTGTCTGCTTTTCTCTCTTGTGGAGAAATACCTAACCCAAGGCTAGAATTTAGGCCTTGCATAACAGCTATTTGCCTCTAATTTAAAAGCATTAGGTTTTGAATACTTCTGAAAAGATGTTTTTCAGAGAATCAAATCCCTGTAGAGATTTTACTATAGGGGTATTATTCTTTTAGTTTCTCCTACAAAAATGTTTGTCTACTATTGGACCCACCAGACAAATCTCGCTTTGGTGATGCTGTGTATTTGGCATAATACATTATACTCAAACTAAATGGATAAATGAAAAATATATAAGTCACAGGGACTGTTTATTAAATCTTCCACGATCATAACAGATTTTGGTGCGGTAAGGTGTTTTGATTATACAAGATTATATACGGCTCTGCCACCACAGTCAATTAGAAACTTTAAACTGTCAATGCATAACATCCACGGGTCTATCATTAATGTTTTGCCAATGTTTGCAACATGCATAAAACCACATAATGCTTTGCTCGCTGGTCAGCAGAATGCAGATTTATTGTGAGACCCCACCGTAATAAAGGTATTCGAGGTATCTCAAGTAGATTTCTGTACTGACACTTTTACTGAAAGTACATATTGTGTACTCATGGACAGTGTACACAGTATAATAGTAGGTCGAAGAGACATTGCAAGACATTTGAGCCATTTCACCATTTTAATTATGTTCATCATTATCACCAAAATCTGATCTTTTCACTGTCGTTCATCTGAGCTGCCATTTCTCGGCTTAAACAAGAGCAGGCGACTAATGAGATCCAGAGGCTGTCATGTCATTTCAACACGTCAAGAATGTACACAGCCTTTGCGAACAAACACTTTCTTCCATGAAGGAATTTTGTGTGAGTGTGTGTGTCTGTATACATAACATTGGCACAACACAACTGGGCTAAAATATTTGGTTTTCTAGCAATTTTGAGTGAAAATCCAACATATTGTGATCTCTTTCTCTACATACTATATATATAATATCTTCAGTGGTGATGGATCAGGGGAGAACATGTATGTTTTTATTATCCTTTATTTTGTCACTGAAATGAAAGGATGTTCATCCACCTGCCCTCAGAAGCCCACAACTTGAGATGACATTGCTCTTCTGTGGTAGCGCAGGTTCATTATTGCTCTACAGTCTAGTTCTGCACCTTCCCCGAAACCCAACCATCCTTAGTTCATTCTTCTCCGGAAGAAATTGTGACGAATATAATATGCTGTTGTCTAACTGCAATAATAAAACCGTGTGTGGAAATGATTGTGAAAGCACCCCAGGTTCTAATAGGTAAGAAGTAACAGTAGCACCATTGAGCCAATTGAAAACAATTCACAGCTGAAGTGAACATTTTATTTGGGATTGACCTCTCTGCAAAGCTGATGAATGTCTCTTGTGCAAGTTGGTTCTTGTTGATGGTTATTTGACGTCATCCTTGTGTGCGTCAAAGGTCTGATACTGAGTAACATGCGATGAATGACAATGAGCCGCTGAGCGGCTGAAAGGGCTGCAGCGCATTATGACAGGTTTCTCCCCTTCAGCTTTACTCCCCTTCAAAATGCTGAGTTTGATTAACAGCCTAATAATATGCCAATAACATTTTTTTTTAACAAAATAGTTTTAGTGCAGTCCCAGCCCATTTAAAAACATAACATAACAGTATAAAGTCGACCCCTCTGGAAGGAAAATTACAAACTAAATAATCATTTCTAATGTCAGCATCATTAACATGTTGATCTTCAACAAGTATAATGTGTATTTTGTTCACCAACTCAATTTTACATATTAGTTCATATATATTATACATATATTCATATTCATTTTACATTTAATTACTTAATTAACGATATAATGGCTTAAAACGGAGAAATTAAAAAATAATATGTTTAGTCTATTATATATAATCCATATAGACACACACACACACAATTTCACTGGCAGCTCTGCACGTAAAGGATGTTGTGATAATGTGAGTGATAAGTACATAGTGGTTTACCTCATGTCTTGAAGACTACGTCAAAAAGTCAAGAGCAAAATCAATGTGATTTGCACGCTACCAACTTGTTATCAGCTGCAGGACTGCTTTAAGGCTGTACAAAAGATCACAATTTCAGTTAAAACCTCATGCGTAATAATGAGCACTGGTTAGAGCCGTCTGTTGGGTGCAAACACTTTTTTTACTACGCTCGCAGGAAATCTGATTGTAGCTGCACAAATGAAGTCTTGCTGGAGAAAACAAAAACACGTCTAAGCGATTACTGACAGAACATAAGAACACTCATCTGCCGCCTGTGTCTCCAGCAGCACACTGTGATAAGAGTCACAATCATGATTCATCTGTGGGCTTAAATAGAAATGTTATTTTCTTTATGAGGTGATAGTACCAGTTGCTGTCAAGACTCAGTAATGGGGGTTTTCAGGCCCATAACAGAATCTAAAAGATTTTTCCAGATGAGGCCATTAGAGTTTGTATATTTTCTGTATCGCCAGAA